AAGTATAGTTACCTGGGAGGCAGAGCATTGTGAGTGAGTAATGTTGTTGAAACAAAAGCCCTGACAGCAGAAGTGTGGAGAGAGTGATGAGACCCCCTGCTGGTGTGTTAGCTAGCCTGGCCTTGGAGTCTCGGCCCGGCTTTTCCCTTTCAGACTCCTGCCCCTGAGGGCTTGGACGGAGTCTTCTTGCCACTAGTGCTCCAAATCACGTTTCTGATTCACGAAAACTGTTGATATAAAAATTATCACCTTTTTTATAACTACAGTATGTAGTATGTAGTTATGTGCTGCAGAGACATTTCAGTTCGGCAACATTAAAAGCCTGCCCGACCCCACTGTGATAAACGAGGGTTATTATCATCGGTGGAAAGTAAATACATTTAATCTAGTAATGTACTTAGGTACAGTTTTAAGGTATTTTAGTATTTTGGTTTTTCTGCTGTTACTGCTGCTGCTACTTCTCTACTACATTTCAAAGGGAAATATTGTACTTTTTATTACACTACAATTATTGACAGCTATTGTTACTAGTTATTTACTGCAGATAATTAATAATGATCATCTTTAAATTACATTGAACTACCCAAAAGTACGTGAAGTACTTAAAATGGGCTCCACCAACATGCTTTTAACATGTAAATGTGCCAATAATAATAATCAAACAACACACAAAAGGTACAAAAGGTTAATATAAAAATAAGGTCCATTCTGCATGACAAGTAGGCCTACTTTTCATACATTTCAAGTACATGTTGATGTTAGTAAAAGTTTGAATACAGGACTTTACTTGTACATAAAAGTGTTTTTACAGTGGGTTACTGCAAATTGTACTTAAATATAAGATCTGACTACTTGTTCCACCACTGTTTTTTTTATTTATAAATACATAGACAAAGGATTTGGGAGGGAAAAATACGATTGAATAAAAATAACATTACACATATTCTGGTTGCTCTGTATCAAATCAGTAGTGTTGCCATCGTCCACTCACTGTCAAAACTGGTTTCAAAAAACATCACGGGAACAGATTTAACTGTGTGTGAACCTTTTAATTATATGTGTCTGCTCTGTTCCTACCTACCTACCCAATGAGGTGACATGAACACCACCAACTTCTCTACCAGCCTCTCGTGGTTGCCAAGGTAAACGTCCTGACGACAACGGGATCGTGTGCAGGCTCGGAGGGACGTCCCGCTGTGATGGGGCGCGTGACGTGATACTCAACAATCAGACACCATGACAACCTGGCAACAATGCTGTTGATTCAGCAACCCAAACTGTATGAGGAGTTGAAGAGAGGGGACAATGAACATGTTGCTGACTGGAGGAAGTTTTAGGATCAAAGGCTGCATTTTTACACCGGCTCAGGAACAACAGGACCTTAATGTGTGAAACATATCATCCCAAAGTATTTCTCTCATGCACAAATATTAGGCTTTCCAGGCTTTTACATTTAGAAGTGAAAGACATATTTTCAGGTTTTAAAAGAACATTTTTACTTAATTTACAGTAAAAATGTTCAGACAGGAAACGGAGACATCTGTACTGGAGTAAGAAATAAAATCTGGAAGGGGAAGATATGTTTACCATAATTTCAGGATATGTTGTTTCCTTTCCTTATTATGCTTTACAATGATCTAATAGAAAAACAAAAAAATGTGGCAAAGAAACGATTTGCTTAATAACATGAGGAGACCTACCTGTGATGGTCAGCTCCCTATGGATCTGATTGGTTGGTGGGGTGGCCATATTTGTTTGATGTTTAAGACGTTGGCTCTGTCTTAATGAAATGGATTAAGGTACTTAATTGCAAACCAGTAGCAGCAGTTTAAACCATCAAATATTGTTTGATTAGTATCCAACCCTGTCTGCAGACAGGGCTGCCAAGTCTCACCTGCCTTTTAATTATTGACACTGGTGCCTTTGCATGTGCAATAAAAGCTGATATACAAGACATCAAAACTGATGGGTGACATTAGAATAAATGTTTATGCTGAGTATATAATCTTAAGGTTTTCCTCCCAGGCCATTCAATATTGTATGCTCTATTCATCATTAACAAATGTGCACAGTTTTCTGGTTTATTTGGAAAACATAAGGGATGAGGTACATATGAATCAATCACCGCTGATATCCAAGATATCTGAAAGTAACATTACAGGCCTTTTAAAAACAATAAGAGAAGACATCGTCCTCTGATATTTGTGTCACTGCATCCTGTGTGTGTTGAATGTAATGTCATGTCACTTATTGTTTGATAACAGATTTTACATGAAATGTATCATCCATCCATCCATCGTCAACCGCTCATCCTGCGCACAGGGTCGCGGGGCAAATGTATCATATCAAATTAAAAGTTATTATTTTGAGAAGAGAATAGCTGAAATCTTTATGGAGCCTGATGCAATCGTTCAAACACAAATTATATCATCCATCCATCCATCGTCAATACAGGGTCGCGGGGGTGCTGGAGCCAATCCCAGCTGGCATCTGGCAAGAGGCGGAGTACTCCCTGGACAGGTCGCCAGTCCATCACAGGGCACACAGACAAGAACAACCACTCACAATCACATTCACACCTAATGGCAATTTACAGTCACCAATTAACCTAGCCTGCATGTCTTTGGACGGTGGGAGGAGTCCGGAGCACCCAGAGAGAACACACACAGACACGGGAAGAACATGCAAGCTCCACACAGAAAGGCCTGGAATGACCCAGGACCCAAAATAAATGTAGTGGAGCAGGAAAATTGTACTTAATTACAGTACTTGAGTAAATCCATGCATCCACATGCTCCAAGTTCAAATACAAGACCTTCTTGCACAAAGGCGACAGTGCAAGCAGACCACTGCAAATGTTATCATTTATTTATCAAAATGGCCTCACATGCATGTTGTAAAATTACTCATTGCAGTTGATTCCTGTTTTTTAAGGTGATCAGCTTTTAAACACAGGGGCAACTCAAAGTGCTTTACATACAGTAAGGTGAAGAAATGCATTAGAACAGCATAAGAACACAATAAAAAGAAAAACAGAATAATAGAATCAAATTATATTTTAAAAGATTAAATTAAATGAAACAATACAGACAAAAATAACAATAAAATACCACAAAGACAGTTATGAAACAGTTACAGTGCATTAATAAGTTGCAAGTTGCTCCAAATTCAATAAAGGAAAAAAGTGCTGCAGAGAAATAAATCAACCAAATGCACAGGAGAAGAGCAGCCTTTTCATTTATTTATTTAGATTTTTTATTGGCTAAACTTGGATCATATCTAAGATCATCAAGACATTGCTTCCATCTGTTTGCAGCATCGTAGCAGAAAGCGGTCCAAGAGACCTATTGGGAGTATATTCCTTAAACAGATCAGAGACGTATTTTGGACCCAGGTTGTTAAGTAATTTATAAACCACAATCACCACTAAAATCTCTTCTATAATTAACTGGATGCCAGCGTAAAGATTTAAAATCAGGAGTCTTTTGTGGCTTGTTAAAACTCTGGCAGCAGCATTCTGACTGCGCTGAAGTTGTCTGATAGTATTTTTTGGGGAGGCCAGACAAGAAACCTTCACAATAGTCCACCCTGCTGGAGACCAAGCCTTGAATGACTTGAGATGATAAAATGTTGATTTAGCTGTTGCTTTGATGTGGCTGCTGAAGCTCAGACCAGACTGAATCTAAATGTTTGGTCAAACTCCCTCATTCAAAAGAAAACGCGCACATTTTTAGGTCCTCGTGAAAAAGCACAACAGGAGAAACAAACAGAGACATATGATTATATGTCTTCTAGGCTCAAACAGTGAAAACGAATTTCAAATCAACTCTGATTTGCCTCCCAATTCAAACCGACTGGCTGCACAAAACTCAACCAGGACTATACTGCCACCATGTGGTAACAGTGAAAAAAACTTTTTAAATGGTTTTAAATTTCTTTCCATAATTTGCAAAGTCCTTGATACATACATATTGTCAAGTAACTCTCACATGCATACGTTTAGACTCCTGTAAACATCCAGTAGAAGCAGAAGATGGATACTGACTTTGTGTGTAAAGTCAAGTAAATGGCAGTAGTAGAAGAAGTACTCAGATCTTTTACTTCAGCAAAACTAGCAATACCACAGTGTAGAAATACTCTGTTACAATTAAAATCCTGCATTCAGATCTTTCGTTACAGGTACAAAAGTATTAGCATTAAAATTTATTCAAAGTAACAAGTATTCATTATGTTTCAGACTAATATATATTATATTAATGGATAGTTATTGTTGCATTAATGTGTGAGCATCGCTATTGTTGCTGCTGGTAAAGGTGGGGCTAATTTGTATTACTTTATATACTGCCAAACAGCTTAATCCATAAAAATTCATACTAATTAATTATATTTTGTATTAATAATCTGGCTGTAAATTAACTAGTAACTAAAGCGTCAAAATAAATGTAGTTGCGTAGAAGTATAAAGTAAGATAAAATGATGAAGTAAAGTACCAGTACCTCAAAATTGTACTTGAGTAAATGTACTGACTAACATCCCGCCACTAATGGTGAGATGCTGCATCTGTGTTGTTGTGTCCAGTCAATCGATTGATTGTCAACTCAAGTCAAACACCGTGTTGCCACGTAAAATATATTTGTTGTTTCAGTGTCAGTTTGCGTTTTTTAAATAGTGAACATTTTTGGTGTTTTTTCAGCTCATAGAAAAGAAATAGGGGATAAGATAAAAAGAACCGACTAAAGAGGTAGGAAACAAATGGAAACTATAGAAATATATCTGAAATAATAACTTCTATGTATAAAACATAACGCCAATATACTTGACCATATACATAAATTGGTATAAATATGTGCAAAGTTAAGAAGTCTAGTAGTGTAAGCCTTAAAGAAAAACTATTTTAAACAATGCTACTTTACAGGAATTGGTTCATTTTATGCTGTTATATAAACCAGAAAGATTGTAAACCACTAATGTAAAAGGTTGATGGAGAGACCTGATTCAACTCTTATCCATATGTTGTGTATTTTGGTGTGAATGTGTAAAAGTGTCCATAAGACACATTAAAATGAATTATGCTGATAATTCTATTAAAATTTCAGGAAATCACATGGATGCAGTAAATCTTTCTTCGTTAATCCATGGTTCTGCATGATCCCAACTGGAGGCTCTTCTGCTTACAGTAACTTGGCCTGAAAAGAGTCATTCAGATTTGAATCCTTATAAGTATGTTATAAGTATGTTGAATGCATCTTTTTAAATCACTAAACTGATTTCAGCATTTATTTGAAGCTGCAGTACAGCATCATGCCTCACCCAGTTTCTCACTTTCAAGGGAACTGACGTCTGGCTCACATTTGTGATGATGAATCTGGCTGCAAGGCGGAAAGCCCTCATCCACAAATCCAGATATTTCAGGTAAGGGAGCATAGAGGTATCTGCAACCAATAGTCTCATAGCCTTGATACACATTAGGGTCAAGGTAGTTGGAGCTGAAAGTGACCCGAAGCAAAGACCTCAATATCCAGCTGCTTTCTGTGACCTTAGTGCTGTAGCTCATGCAAGAAGAAGACTGAAGATCATTCCTCAGAAAGCATGAGGCCTCCATCAGAGGAGTAGCATTCCTGCTGACTGGCTCCCACAAGAGGAGACCTCCCGGTCCTGGTGTAGATTTGGAGGATCCAGTCCCAGATACAGCAGGATGAGATGATGCGGTGGAGATACAGTCCAGTTCAGAGCTGTTACAGGTTGGAGAGTAAAGGTATCGCCTCTCCCCATGGACTTTTGTAAGATTACAAGCCAAGTATTCACTATCAGTGTCACTTTTTAAAGCATTAAGGGAAGTTTGCATCCATGCTAAAAGACAAGAGATAAAGCAAAGCTGCCAAACACGAATTCACTGTTAAAACCTAGATTTCCTGATTTTGTTATAGTGCCTATAGCAACCCAATTTACCAAACTTTGCTCCCATCTCACAGCTGATAATTGCAACTGAGCAGTGGTGGGATTCAGGATACTAATCAAACAATATTTGATGGTTTAAACTGCTGCTACTGGTTTGCAATTAAGTACCTTAATCCATTTCATTAAGACAGAGCCAACGTCTTAAACATCAAACAAATATGGCCACCCCACCAACCAATCAGATCCATAGGGAGCTGACCATCACAGGTAGGTCTCCTCATGTTATTAAGCAAATCGTTTCTTTGCCACATTTTTTTGTTTTTCTATTAGATCATTGTAAAGCATAATAAGGAAAGGAAACAACATATCCTGAAATTATGGTAAACATATCTTCCCCTTCCAGATTTTATTTCTTACTCCAGTACAGATGTCTCCGTTTCCTGTCTGAACATTTTTACTGTAAATTAAGTAAAAATGTTCTTTTAAAACCTGAAAATATGTCTTTCACTTCTAAATGTAAAAGCCTGGAAAGCCTAATATCCAGATTCTTTCCTTAAGTAAACGTGGGATATGTCATGTAAAACATACTCAATTATAAGCATCAGTCCTGCATTTAAAGTTTAATTAAGTATTTGAATACTATTAGAGTAAAGCAGAATACCTAAAAATTGGAAGCAATGTCTTGATGATCTTAGATATGATCCAAGTTTAGCCAATAAAAAATATAAATAAATAAATGAAAAGGCTGCTCTTCTCCTGTGCATTTGGTTGATTTATTTCTCTGCAGCACTTTTTTCCTTTATTGAATTTGGAGCAACTTGCAAATCAGGAATACTATTCCTAAGTCTAAGTAAAACAGTTAATATATAAACTACCAGTTACATCAAACAAATAACCTACAAAAATACTCATATACTAGCTATAAAATACTGAAATAAGGATCCTAAAGTTGAAATTTGGCAACAATTAGCTTCACTGATCGAAAATAAATGTTTAAAATTACTCACTTGGTTGGAAATGTTTCTCCATAGTTGGCTTTTGAATTACTGAATCAAGTTAATGCTTCTGTGTGGACTTTTTGTGAGACTGAACAAAGGTGAAATGTTCTGTCTGCATCTGATTTCTGTGTCGTGTGACGTTCTTAGAACAGTTCTACATTCTATTGACGTTCATAGAACGGAACGAATTAGAACTGTTATTATATTACATCACAGTGCATTACATTATTATATTATATGATTTGTATGTTCTTTATTAAAGGAGTGCCTCTTAAGATGCCTGGTCATGGGCAATCTGACGTACACTACTAAAGGTCACAGACATTCCCACAAATATGTGGGACAAAACTAATTTACCTTACCAATTCTGTACTTTTTGATCAAGAATTTTCTTATTATTATTATTTTGTGTAACAGCATGATGAACTGAAAAACTGATGAAGTATTTAAGGCACATGCTGTTGTTGTTGTTATTATTATTATTTAACCATAATTTTTAAAGTTTAATTAAAAAGATAATAGCATTTTATGTCCATATTTATTGGGAGGAAAAGTGTTAAAGTAATAAATAAATTCAATAATAATCAGCAGACCTTCTGCAACGTGTGCTTTAAAAGTAGTTTTGTGCATACAGTATATGTCAAACAATGTGCTTGGGGAGCCCACTTATCTCAGCTTGTCGGAACATTCTAGTATGTATTTTACGTTATTGGCACTAGAGGGAGGCCTCTACTCAGTTGCCACCATTTCCGGAGCTTAAATAAATGTACAGCAGTGCCCAAGGCTTTATGACATGATGAAGTATGAAATATGACCCTGGGAAACAATTCTCCTAAAAAAGGTATGTGGAAGAAGACTTGACACTCCCATTCTGTTCTTCTATACCATCCACACACATCTGGAGTTTGGTAGGCTACCGGTCTGGGGGTTCTGTCACTGTTGACCCTCTCTCTAAATTTATCAGCTTGTCATCACGTGTCTCTCTCATATTTCTGCTGGCCGATGGGACCAGCTAAGAATAGAAGATCACTGACATAGATTAACACGGCTGGTTTGTGTCTCCCTCTGACTCTTTCTAAAAATCCAATCATTTTCCATATTTCACTCTCACAACTATAACCCTCCTTCTTCTGTAAGTGTGTCTTGACCTTTTTCGTGTGGTTAACTACTACTGACCTCATCTATTACAGTGCAGGGAAGAAGGGGGAGGAAGGAGAAGAGAGAGGAACCTGCCGTCCACACCGTTAGGACCACGACAATCCTTACAGGCTAGAGAATATGTAACTGTAGGGTTTGAACTGTATTAGTAGTTTGCTAAATAACTGTATTACCTCTTTTTTAGAAGTCTTCATTTTCAAGCATGTGTCAACAAGACTTTTGAATACATACAATTGCCAGAAAAAGTCCCAAGTTTACAACCAGGAAACTATCTTTATCCGAATGTGTAGTAGCACTTGAAGGACAAGAAAGTCTTTCAGGGACTCCTAAATGTCACATCTAATCCCGGGATGGAGTAGGATCTCCAGCGTATGTGGGGTTGTCCCTCAGACAGAGAGTGTTTATCCAGCACTCGCCAGACACCCACAGTAAAGGCCCATTATAGCCAACAAAAACCTGATTGGCTTATGTGGAGGGTTGCTTAGGGTGAGCTTCGAATGCATCTTCAATTTGCGTATACCTTTTCTCCTTCTCTGTCTTTGTCTCTTTAGCTGTATGTAAACTGAGTTAATGTGTGTATATATATATGTGTGTGTGTGTGTGTGTGTGTCCAGGTCATTTCAGTTAAGAGTTCAGAGTTACAATGTCACCTTTGATTACTTTCTCCAAACAGCAGCTTTGTGATGTAACACTTGAATGAGCATTTAGATTAGCTAAATGCCAAAGCAAACACACCTGACTGCCACAGCAAATGCCAACATACCAAAGCAAGGGTACTAACTAAAACATCACTGTTGAAGACAAATAATTTAAGGAAACAGTCCCTTACAAAACCTAGTATATTTAGTAGCTGTTTATTTAAAAGACTTACTCGTACTCGTAGGTAAGAGATTAAGCATATTTCCTAACTTGTCCTTTAAGTCCTCTTTTGTTTGTGTTGGGTCAAAAAAGATGATAGATAGTCTTAGGAATAAGACTCTAACATTTCCAGGCTCTGGTGATGGGATTGTCTGGCTGTTGGTTGGTCAGTCCACCGCTTGAGTGTAGACTGACAACTCTTGTATGGATTATCAAGAAATTGTACCCAGATATTCATGTGCCCCAGAGCAGGAAATCTAATGACTTTGATGAGCTTTGTAATAATCACCTTTGTTAATCCTTAACTTTAAATATGGCACAATTGAAATTTTAATTTGTCAAATACTTTGATGTCTAAATAAATATATGTCAGCCTCGGATCAGCAGATAGTTCCACAATGTCAGTTCATAACGCTAGACGTGAACAGCTGGGTAAACACATGAAGCGAGTTCATCAAGATGAAGAGCTTTTATGACTTTTTGTTTGGCTGTCATCACAACTGAGAGCAGTTAAAACATCATAAAGTTAGTAGGCTGGAGTGGAGAACAACGTATCTAAACTGTATCACAAATATCTGGCTATAAAGACCGAGATAAGTCTTATATTTACTGTGGGCAGTCCAGCTGTGTGAGCAGAGAGGGAGGAAGAGTGGTTCAATGTGTAGACATTACTGCCTGCTATTGGCTACAAAAGGAAGATAGGGTAACAGTGAGTGAATAAATGAATGAATATTATATCCCTATCACATTTAAATAAACCTAGAGTCTTTAGCCATGATATAGGCTTAGTTAGTCTGAATTGCTAATGTCAGCATGCTGTCAGGGACAATGCTAACATGGTGATGTTTTGCAGGTATAATGTTAACCATTGTAGTTTAGCATGTTAGCATGCTACCTTTAGCTAATCAGCATTAAACATGATGCACAGTTGAGGCTGACGATAATGTTATTAGTTTTGCATACTTGACTATAACCCCAAGTACAGGAAACTTGAAATGTAGACCTGATGGTTCTTATAATTATACCTGAATATCTGTACCTAATTTCACAGAAACCTATCAGATAGCTGTTGAGAAATCTCACTCAAAACCACAAATGTCAAGCTCATGATGGTGCTATAAAAGTCAGGGGTCACTATTATCCTCTGGGGACCATGAACACATGTACAAAATGTCAAGATGAAAATCTAGACAAGAAGATATTTTAACACTATTTTGAAGAAATATTCAAGGCACAAATACATGAGAGAGGGTATGGATGTCCTCCCCCCAAAAATTAAACACTTAATTTCATGTATTCAGGATCCAATTTCTGCACCAAATTGAAATGTCTTTATTTATATAAAGGGAAACACAAAATTCAGGTGGCAGGTGACAATTCAAAATAGAAAAATATAATGCAGTAATCAGTAAATTGATTTTTTTTAGCTTAAGTAAAATGTTTTGACATTGCACATTTGTTTCTTCTATATTTACACTGCATTTCGTGTTTTCTTATTGTGCAAATAAACCTTCTCTCAAAGCATTTTCTTCTGTTATTTGACATTTCTTGGTGCACGCTATTTTTCAGTATCAGAACATTTTAAACAAATGCTTTCAAAAAGTGATGGGGACAAAATCAGCCATTTCAAAAAGTGGTGGGGACATGTCCCCAGTGTTCCCAGTGCTAACACCTATGATCAACAGAGGAAAAAACCCACAACCAAGCAAAGCTAGATTTGAAATGCATGCTCATGTTGCTTAAAGAACCCACACAAATGGGTATGCAGTCCTGAGATATGCTGAGGAACTGGATTCAATTTCCTCCAAGATTCCTATCTTACATTCTTGGGATGGAAACCAGCGTTGCTAGTGACATTAGTGGAAGACAAGAGAAACAAATAACATAATAAGCCCCACTAGTATCAGGAAAACAGGAAAAGATGGTGTAATGCTGTGGTCATAAAAGTAAAGTTGCAACTTCAAATGTAACACCGTGTCTGTGAATGAGTATAAGGTTGTCAGTCATCCTCTAACGATAAATAGACTGCAAATTAGAACCTGTATTAGGTGACCATTAAACAACACCAAAACAAAAATAAATAAATTTATCAAATACATGAAACCATGGTGTATCCTGGTGGGTCAACGATCCAAGATGCATTTCATGTAAATGTTAACCCAACATAAACCCAAACATGCCATTTAAAAGGAAACAAGTACATCTAACCATTAGTTAACTAATTTATCTTATCTCTTAAATTTACCTTTAAGTAGTATTGAACACCCTGAAAACCCTTTCTCCTTATTAGCCTCTTGCTATAAGTGATAATGGCTATTCTACATTAGAGATTTGCTGTGTTTTGTCGGTGCTTTTCTCTAATCTCTTGTTTTAAAGAGGTGGCTCATTTTCAGGTTCAAAATCTTATTTAGGGGTTGTACCATAACAGGTTTACATGGTTTAATTTTCAAAAAACACCATATTTTTCTCATACTGCACATTGCTGCAGCTCCTCTTTTCACCCAATGTGTTGTACGCTCCGCTCTTGAGCTACAGAGTGATCTTTGTTGGGAGTTTCACATGCGCAGTTCCCAGGTAAGGACTACTAGCCAATCAGAAGCAGAGAAGGGCGTGTCGTAACAAACAAGGTAGTGTGATCCAAATCAAAGCCGCTTCACACTGCGACCGTAACCTAGCAGATGGTATAAGTTACTCACAAGTCCAACATCATTGTTCCACATCTTACAATAAACCACTACAAAAATCACCATATTGCAATTCAATTTTACATAAAAATTGGCCAAACAATTTGAACGTTTGCTGAGTAGCTTTAACATCAGGTGTAACGTTAGCATTATAGTTATAACTTTAGCTGTGTTAGCTAACGTTTACAACAACTCCGCACTGGAACAGTCTGTGAAGTATGTTCAAGAGCCTGACCCTGCTAGCCGATTTGCAAGCTTTATGACGCATTTTCATTGTGACGTCACAGTGAAGGAAGGGAAACGGCTGGATTACAAAGAGCTGTTTTCAAGCAGTTCAGAGCAGTGCATTCTGTGGGAGATGGGAACTCCGTTTGGGCTGGGCTTTGTCACTTTGCAAACCTATTACATGCACAAAAAAGAGATATGACTTAATAAAGGAGAGGGGAAAAGCCAAAAAGCATAATACCACCTCTTTAAGTGAATGGGCATTCTTTTGGAAAAGACAATGGAAGTGTTTCTGTCACTCAGAATTCAACACTGTACTAATCATAATCAGAAAGTGGTGACAGTCACATTGTTTACTTATGTTGTTTCTGCCATTCAAACAGGATCCACCTCCACACAGTCCTGGTCAGGTCAGCTGAGTTTTTGAGGGTTAAACTTTGATTAACTAATAATTTGTTGTCTACACTATTAAACAACAAACATACCCACCTACATATTAGTAATTTGGCATATTTGTAAACACTGGTATCTTAAGAATAATTCAAAATACCTTAATGTAAAGTAAGTAAGTTCTGTGGGTTCGAATAGCACTTTTGTGGTGAACAAAGTTTGTCGGGCTTACCTTTTGTAGTACTGTGATTAACTTATGCCTTATATCATCTCATACAACTACATTAAATATAATTTATTCTACAAAACAGGGATGTTAACAGCATTTATTCCCTTCACATCTCACCTGTCACACACAAAAAATGAGTTAAAAAATGTGAGTTGTTTTTATCCTGATTCTATTTTATCCACGCATAGGTGTGATTCCAGCAAGCTGTTTTTATGCACATTTTGAATATGCATAAACAGCTGGATGGAAATGCATTCATTTAGCATTATCTTTAGCCAATTATCTGTAAATTCAGTTAAAATCTGCACGACATTTGGATGTAAAACTGGCTATGTTTATCCCTAGTAAATAAACTAACCAACAATTAAATCAAACATTTTTCACATTTTTAAGAATTCAACTTTCGGTAAATGTTATCTCCCTCAGGCTACATCCACACTACTACATTTTCATTTTAAGACGGACATTTTTTGCTACGTTTGCATCTCATGTCTAGACTAAAATGGCAAATCCGAAGACCTAAAACAGAGAAGTTTGAAGACGCTGCTGACCCCGTTTCCGTTTTAAAACTCTGGAGTAGCGTAACAGTGCGGACAGGTGAAAACGGTAGACTTTTAAAAAAGATAACGCAGACACTGAGGTTTGGCTTTTATTAAAACTATTTTAATAAAACACACAACAAAACACATGCTGACAGTGTTTCGGTTGTTTTATTAAAATTGTTTTAAATTCGCAAAACTATTATACACTTGTACTGTGCATGTCGCAGTATTGGCTTTGTGATAACTCCTAGTCTATTTTCCACCGCCACAGTTTTTTATTTTTCATTTTAGTTTTTAAATTTCGTTTTCAAACAAAAATGTAGTAGTGTGGATCTGGCCTGAGATGGCCTTATGGTTGGTTTAAAGTCAGGAATATAATTCTGGTGGAGAAAGGCTTAATTCCTTTTTATGTTTTCACCTTAAAGCTGTAAATTGAGTCTAAAGTAATGTGTAATTTGGGTGAAGTAGTACTGAGAACATTGCCTTGCTACCTGCCCAGGATGTTGCAGGGGTCCAGAATTACTTGCTCCGCCCCTGAATCAAGCTACAGACAGAACAGTGTCAAAGGAACACCTTTTTAATGGTAGTATACTTAGAATACGATATATGCTTTCGGTATTATTAAAAACGTGAAAAGTCGCGTTGCTTTGCGTCTGTGAAATAAAGAAAAATAGTTTGCATATCGCCGTGTACTTGACCCATCTGCTGCAGCCTTCAGCACTGCGTGAGGAGAAAAAAAGCTCCTTTGACGTCAGCCACGTTAGATTTCAGCAGTCCAAGATGGCGGAGGTGAGCGGGTTGAGGAGCAGAAATCACTTCGAGCCCAACTGCAAAAGCCGAGCTGTCGACGAAGGTAAACCGTTACGTGTTTTGTCGAGTAGATTTATGACAGGGACTCGAGTACGACGCTTAGAGGTCGGGGGTTAAAATTTAAAGTGTTTTTCGTCTCTGTCGTCTTCTTTTTCTGTGAGTGGCAAACTCGCTTTTCCGTTAGCGAGACGCTTCTGTTTTCAGTTGGCAGACCCGCGGTGTCCTGCCAAATGTGGCACCCCCTGCCAGAATATGTCCCCCCTAGTTCGCAAACAGGGTGTCAACACAGTCCAAACAGCGTGAAAGTTAGCTAGAGAGAGATACATTTTTATCAATATGTGTTTTCTCTTTGTTAAAACGTGTTTTCGCTCTGGAAACCTGCTGAAAAGCTGTGTTGTTCGAAAGTGACTGTGACCCGGATACAAAACCGTCCGTCGCCCCGCGCCGGTCCTCTGCGGGCCGTCACTTTCACCGGCGGCTTGTCCGTATTGTCTAGTCTGCCGGTAGTCGCACAGCCGCACTGTATTGGCTTCAGCCGCACCGTTTCTGAACTTTGAAACCGTCCACTTTAACCTACACCAGTTTTCTGTAACGGGGGATTCAGCCCAACTCACTAACTACACACAATAATACGTTAATCTCATCCCACTAATGACTCAGATATTTTTAAACAGCCTATTATTAAGTCTGTTCAGTTTGCCAGCAGACTTATCCACGTAATTGCAAGGCTAATTTTGTGCAGTGAATACAACTGGATACATAAGTGTATAAACATTTTACAGACAGAAAAGTAATTCTTCATAAGTAAACCATAGCCATTAACAGTGTTTACTGATTTTAAAAAGAACACATCACATACTGATTTGTCTTGCATTGAGGTTTATGCCGGTTCCTCACTTTGCCTTCAGTGTGGTGTCAGTGTTGCAGCTGTTATTTTTAATACCAGGATCAAGGTTTTCATTTGGAAGCCACCAAATACACAATATGTTACAAGCATGGATCCAAATCCGCATCTGTGTGGACTGTGCTGTTGTTTTAAAACACTATGTTGTGTCAACAGCTTTGGCAAGTGGGAGAAAGGCTATATAGAGCTGAAACAATTGATTAGTTCATCGACATTGGCAATGTCTTTGACAATTGATTAATCATTACTGTAGTTTTATCATCATAGTTGCTCAAATGTGAATATTTACTGCTTTTTGTTTGCTTTGGGTTGTGGACTGTTGGTCGGATGAAACAAGACATTTTGGGCTTTCAGAACTTTTGACAGGTCTGTTTTATCAAAACAGGCAGATAATGTTTAACTTATCTTAAAACAGAAAACTATATATTTTTTCTTTTGGTAATATGACAATAAATGGACAGATTTACTCCAGAGTGCACTCAGGTTTTGTCTGTTAATGGTACATTTCTACAAACATGTAGGAAGGCTCGTATGTGAGATATGGTCCGGACTACCTTACCATGATAACCCTTATGCCTACTTTGAAACAAGCCAGCTGACTCTGTGGCAACAACATTTACCAACTTCAGCTCCTCTTAATCTGCACTTTGTTCTCACAGACTCCCTATTAGTCTGCTTGCTGCAATTGAACATTTGCCCTCGTTGACTCTTGTCCAGGGAGGCCGTGTCAGGTTGTCTTTTTGGCACCAGTGTGCAGGGAAGTCGGTGTACCTGCATCTTAATGGGCTACAGCAGATTCCTTGTTTACTTTCATAAAATCTCCTTTTCCCTCTCTCTCTTGTTTTGACATATAAAGAACACATTTAGCCTGGTCGCTGAAACCATTTATAATGCATCAAATGCATGGCCTTGATGTCACAAGGTTGGAAGAGGGTGCTGAGGCTTAATAATCTGTTTTGCAACAGTAGAGAGAAGATGATTTCATGAGTTTTACCTGCTTTCTAAGCACTTAAATGCCAGTGCTCTCTCTCAAGATCAGAATGAAAATGTGAAATAGAAGAAGATATCGGCAAAAATTTTACACAATCTTACTTGAAGAATATTTGTGAGTGACTAACCTGCAGTAGTACCTGTATTTTCTTTGAATGACTCAACTTCACTCCCAAAGACACTAAATCTCTTGGAGGGAAAGAGCCAGGGAAATCTGCTCTTTTAAAGTATGAAACTTCCCATATTTAGACAGCTGGTTAAGTTAAGTGGACCGCTGTCTTATCAAAGTCTGCTTCAGATATAGTGCAGGAGTCCAGGGAAGGCAGAGCTGATTTGGGACATAGCACAGAGATGTAGGCTAGCCTGCATAGACGCGCACTATTCCTGCCATGCATAGTTAAAGATAGACCCATCAGAACTGAAGGGATGCAAAACACATGTGTGTGTGTGAGATGTACAAACTTGTCCCATCCCTGGGTAACTTTGTGTGTATGAGCAGGAAAACATGTAGGCCAGTTAACATCTGCTCAGTGCCGCCATCAGATAAGAAGTAATACAGCTAATTTTAGTTCTGCCCTCGTTTTCTGCAAGCTGAGGAGTAGGATAGTGCATTAGCCACTTTATCATGAAGTGTGAGTGTAGCAGTGAACGCACGTATCAGCGCAGCTAATGGTTTTCCACTTGCTGTTATGCTTCCTTGCATGCTTATTGTGTTTTGTCTCTCGCACACACATTCTGCCGCAATACAGACTCCTCACAGTACCAACAGAATAGTGTCTTTGTGCTGGTCCCCTCTATGGCCGCAGTCTGTGCCACTTCATCCTGCTGAGTGCAGCTCTGGACTTGAGGGGAACCTGCACGGCACCACAGACTGAGGAAATGTGCAGGGCTAATTTGTGTTCTGAGCAGATTACTGTAACTGCTCCGCGCTTACAGCAGCTCCTCAAACACTAGCACAGCATTGCTTTTGCCCTTTGGGAATTTGCCAGACCTGATCTTTGAATGTCCCATTTACAGATGTCCTCTTGAGCAAGAATGTCACTCAGTGTCCTCAAAACTAGTGGTCGACCAATATGGGTTTTTTCAATTGCCAATATTTACAGAGCAATATGTAATGGCAATATCAAAAAAAAAAGAAAAGTCATGTATAATTCCATTACTACATGCAGAATAAATTCTAATATAATTGTCTTAGCCAGTAACATGTTTTAAAAGGATTTTGTATTAATTAATGAAATAGAAAAAAAATTGGGTTCGGCCGTATATTTCAGAACGCGACTGGTGTTTAAGGGAGAGTGGGGGTATTTTGTCAGAAGTGACAGCTGCATTATTCTCTACAGTATAACAATATATATTTAACGCTAGCCAGTAATGCTATTAGATTAGATTAACCCATTAATCAGGCTGATATTTGACTAATATATCACCACTCAAAACTGCCCTCCCATCAGCTTGAAAGGGTCTCGAGTCCAATTCACGGCGTTCGTTTTATAGATGCTGAAGTCGATAGCAATTTTTTAAATCTGATTTGTTGTTTTGTTCTCCCCATGTCACTGGTTCCTTGGCTTCCTCAGCTTAGTGTTGATAGAGAACCTGTTATTGTTGATGAAAGTGCTCACTTGAAATTCATGTACTTGTGGGAAAAGGTGCGATCTCTGGCTGTCTTGTTTTCTAACTTATGTGAAATCTCATTTGGGTGCTCACTACCAATGGATATATGTGGTGTATCCAAGGTGTGTCTATGAAGCCGTGTTGGTTTGCAAAAAAATAATTTGTCTGGTGACAGACACTGTGGTGCCATAACTCAGTACGGTTGAATGGCTAATCAGTTGAAACATTTGGATGAGCAATGCTTGATACTTGTCCTACCTGTTCAGTGGACTGTATCGGGTATATACCCGAGGAATTTCCTCTTCCAGTACTTCAGGCAGTGTCATCTGAATCCTGCACCAGTGATTTCTATACCTGAAGGCAAAGGAAGGTACCTAGGGTTAACCGTGATAATGCTTCAGAGGTCAGTTTAGAAATCTGATTAAGATATAAAAGGTTCATGGCACTTTTTGGTTTTTATTACCAGCGAACTGTTTGGAGTTTTTTTTTGTTTGATGAAGAATAGGCCTAAATGCTAAATTCTTCCAGCTTCTGAAATGTAAATATTTTCTGGTTGATGATGATAAACCAAATATCTTTGTGTGTTGGACTGTTTGTGAGACAAAACAATACATTCCAAAGATGTCACATTGGCTTTAGGAAATTGTGACTGATAGTTTTACCAGTTTGTTACGTTTTCTAATAATATATAAAAAAAAATAATCTGCAGATGGATCAGTAATGGCAATAATCACTAGTTGCAGCCCTAGAACATAATGCTACCAAGACAAGCCACTCATCTGCATACCACAGTTCATGGTTCAACACATTTGCTCATACTGCAGGTGAACGCACTGTAGCAGGAAGGAAAGTGTCTTGCAGTTTTAGAGGAAATATACTTTATATTGAGGATAGACTTTCACAGAAACCTCAAAATGGCAGAGTAGAACAATGTAAAAATGCTGTCCTCCTAACTTCCTTTTCTTGTGTCCTTTTTGCTACCCCTTTGTGATTTCCAGTGCAAGGCTATTTTTGAGCTTGACCTAGATGTGTAGACTAGAGTGGATAACGGCATTTAGCTCAACACAAAATGCTAGAAACAATACTCATGTACATATTTAATTTTCTCTTTACCTCATCAGAACAATAGTCAGCCTGTCACGCAAACAAACACATGACAATGAAACCTATTCCTAGAACAGTGGTTTGGGGTCGGCCTACTTAACCCTGCCTTCACATTCTTCTCACTTTACGTCCATTGTGTGTACACAAACAAGCTGTTATCTCACCAGTGTAATTGTATCTGCATCTCTCTACTTACTCTAAAGGCTTGAGTGGCGTGGAGGATGTCCCCATTTATCGGCATAAGCAGAGGCCTCCTTTGGCCAGGCCTGAAGACCTGGAGGATGAATTTCTTCCCGTGAACATGGCCTCAAAGTCAGGCAAAAATGCCAGCCTCACCACCTCACCAGATGAAGAGACTCAGGAAGAAGAGGTATAAAGTTTATTTTCTGCCACATTCCTGTCTATTGACAAGCATGTTTAGCATTTCTAACTAAGCCATTGATTCTTTATCTTTTTTTCACCAGAATAATTATTTAATTTGTGACTATATACTATCCTTTAGGGACGACCGACTCCTCGGTGCAGACATGCTAGGCATTTGTGTTTTTGGAGGGGAAAAAAAGTTTTCTGCCATTTTGTGTAACTCGCTTGTGAATTCTAGCTGTGTCTTTGCTTCACGTCAGGCTCCTAAATGTGTTCGTGTCAAGTTATTTTCTGGCCTGTGCTTTCTTGGCTGATCTCAGCTTTGTAATTTTCAGTTCCCTCTCTCTCTTCCTCCATGAAACCTGCCTCATCACCACTGTAATTACTTAAATCCCTCTCAGTGCCAGGGAAAGCCCATATTGATTGCAAACTCTTGTCTTCAGGCTGTGATGGAGGAAGAAAAGGCCCGGCCCATCCAGATCGTACTGGCCAACGAGGAGGAGCACAGCTTTGAGCTGGACACTGCAGCGCTGGAGAAGATCCTGCTGCAGGATCATGTGAAGGACCTGAACGTGGTGGTCGTTTCTGTGGCCGGGGCCTTCCGCAAGGGCAAGTCCTTCCTGCTGGACTTCATGCTGCGCTACATGCACAGTCAGGTGAGATAAATAGTGTGTAGTTTTCACACTGTGTCTGGACATACAAGGGTTCATGTCCCAGTGGAGATGCGTTTAAAAGACTAGTTCAGGTACTTAACACGGGATGTTAAGTGTTCATTATGTGACGCTGCACATTGATTGGAACGTTTACGAGGACAATGTAATATTCAACCAAACTTTAATACCATGGGTGAACTGGGAACTTTTAAAGGTTTTTTTTTTTCTTAGAGTGTCAACTCTGTGTACAGTAAGGCTGCAACTAACAATTGTTTTCATGATTAATCCGCTGATTACTATAAAAGGTCACAAAATAGTGAAAAATGTCCACCACAGTTTCCCAAACCCAAAGGTGACATCTTCAAATATCTTATCACCTGTCCACAATCCAAAGATTTAAAACCTCGATTCAATTTACAGTCTCAGGAGACTAAGGAAACCAGAACATATTCAGATTAAGAGAAGCTGGAACCAGTGATTTTTACATTTCTTTCTTTAAAAAAGTCTATTCAGGGGCACCGGTGGGCTCATGTGTTAGTGCACGTGCACCATGTACAAGGCTAAAGTCCTTACGGCAGCGCCCGGGTCATGCCATCCCCTCTCTCTCCCACATTTCCTATCTCACTCTTCAGCTTCAAATGAAGACAGAAAGCCAAAAAACAAACTAATTGTTATTAGCACATTTGTTATTGACCAAGCAATAGATCAGCTAATGATTGTAGCTCTAGTGTATAGTTGCCGATTGCTTATTGCAGATGCAGACATCTTTTAAAAAACTGTTCACACCCGATTTATTACTAAATCCAACTGTTTCTAGATAAATACGCTACTTGATAAGAAGATAAGTTAATGTACATGTAAAATAAACTTTGGCTTTTGGCAACTTTTTCAAAACACTTGAAGTTATTTTATAGCTTGTGAATCCTTGAAAGTGTCCGTGTAAGATGTTCACCTCCTCAGTTTTGTTTTTATTAATGTCCACATGGAACAATCACCAATATTTTCACAAATGCATCGATAATTAGATTAGCTTGTCGTGATTATAAAAAGCACTCTGATGTAGTTGTTCTTATATGAATCATCCATTAGTCAAATCTGTGTGATAAATTTCGCATAACTTTTATTTCAGTCCAGATATGATAACACATTAATTTCCCAATGCTGATAAGTTGACCTGACCTCATACAGGTCTAATATGAAGTTCTTGTGCGCAGTGTCAGTGAGATCAGTAAAATAAATTGTTCACATTTTTACTAGGGCTGAAACAATTCATGATTAAATCAATTAATAAAATGCATTGACACAAATTCTTTGCATCAATGCTTTGTTTAATCCATGTAACTTTACAGCACACTGTTTCGCAGGGACATTCATTACTGTTGCACATCGCGCTTACGCTGTGAACACGACGTGATTATAATGGAGCTGTTTGCAAAGAGGAGGAAGAGAGAGAAAATAGTGGGGGACAAAGAAGCAAGTGTCCAAAGATTATTTCAAGCTAAAGAAAACAACAACTCTGTAATGTTACCGTCCATCCACCGTAAAAACGAAACTTATGTGGCCTCGGCACCTGAACAAAAGGCAGCTGGTGTTCTGCCAGTGGACCACAGACAAGGTAACAGTAACAGCAACTTTAGCATTTAACTGAAATCATGACTGATTGTTGAGTTGAAGCCAAAGTAAGCCGCAGACCTCAGCTGAAAATGTGCACACGTGTGTTTATTGTTCTCCTTTTTGGGCCGTGAGTTGTAACCTCACAGTCAAGAGTTAACTGGGTGCCGCGGAGCTGCACTTTTTAACTCACCTGCAGCTCTCTCTGTAGCTCAGACAATCCCTGCTACCTGCATGTGTTAATCTATGCTTTCACCCAGATTCTTTGTCTTTATAATTGTTACCTTTATAATAACAAACAGCTGTTTCGTGTGCAGGATCGCTCAATTCCCGTTTCATGTGTGTTTTCTTGACAAACGTGGTTTGGAGACCTGCGTCGGGTGACACAGCCACTGTCAGCTCCTGTAGTGTGTGTGTGTGTGTGTGTGTGTGTGTGTGTGTGTGTGTGCCCCTGCTGAAAGTGTGCTTACATGTGCTTAGTAAACGTATAACAGCTCATCCTTCCTCTGGGCCTTTAATATTGTGTAACATTTGCTGTCAGTAGAGAGTTTTAAACTAGATGAACAAGTACAGCAGATGAGATTACAACCAGCATCGACATGTCTACCAGTATGTGACGAACAAGTGCTTCCTGTTTGATCCCATACAGATCATGGGATATTAGCCAGATGAGCAAGACACGCACCAAAGTGCATGAATAAGACAGAGCGGTTTAACTGGTCTCCTGGGTAGGTGTATGTTAAAGAGTTGGGAAGCTCAAGTGTTAAATTTGGGTTTAATATACCTGATTTTTTTGTGTGATTACTGGCCTCTGAAATAATGTCTGAAAATGCGAATAACAAAGTGGTACATCACATACACGCACATCAACACAAACACACGCACACACATTTATGTCCACCCAACAACTGTGTGACTTGCACTGACACAAGTATCAATAACTAGTCCTTCAGACCTTTTGGGAGCAGCTGGTCACACAGAAGCATCCAGGATCCCCTTACATTCACTTACACATGCTCTCTCTTAACACACGCACGCGCGCTTTAACACACACACAGCAGGAAAGACGGAGGAATGTCAGCACCCTTTCTCACAGCTGTTTGGCAACATTAACATGGGCATTCATGCAAGTCTGATCAGATCTGCACATGTTCACATTTTTCCCTGAACACTGATACTGGTTCAGGCTGTGGTTCATTATATTCATTTAATTAATGTAAATGTAATTAATTAAAGATATATTATTGACTGGTTTGTTATACAGTTGTGTTTTCATTTATCCATATCAGATTGGACTGCAGGCATTTATAATGATCAAATTACATCATCTTGCTCTATCATTAGATCATGGTTAGGCACTCGGCACCAGTGTTGGGCAAGTTACTCAGAAATTGTAATATTACTAGTTACTTATTACTCCTTAAAGTAATATTATTACTTATTACTGGGTGATAAAAGTAACTAGTTACGTTACTAGTTACTTTCCAGTGTGTCCCACAGAATGAGGGGGGGTTGGTTCTGACTTTGGACAGTTTTGTGCAGCGGTGTTTAGGAGAGAGAGAAAGAGGGAGCGAGCGAGGAGGTGCCGCATGAATATATGCTCCTCGGTACAGCTCCTCAATCAAATAGGATTTTAAATATACCTAGTAAAAAAATTAGAAAATCAATATGTGGTGGTCAGCGTTGATGATGATGATGATGATGATCCAATTTATAGGCTAATTATGGTAAATACTGCTTTCACTACCACCCCGCCCTTCACCCCCAAACAAAGCAGTCTCTCCCGACTTTATTAACTAATATCATATTCAACAGCAGCAAGGAGTGTGTTTTTTACAAAGCATATAGCCTAGGCCTAACGTTTCTGAATGCCACTGGCTGAAATAAAAAAATTAGGAAAGTAAATCCCGACTGTTCTGCACATGTAGCCTATTTATAAAAGTCTATATAAGAGTATTCTGTATGTTTAATAAATGTTACGTTAACGCCACTCTCTCCTGACGAGTCCAAACATCAGTACCGGAGTTTCTTTCTGTAAGTTTCACGTTGCTGTGCTGCTTCAGCAGATTCTTCAATAAATCAGATGTAGAAATGTTCACGGTTGAAAGTTTATTGCTGGTTTACACTAGACGTCAATGTTCTTTGCTTCTTAGACTGTGACACAATAATGGCAGTAGCTACTTACAGCTGTGGAAAGAACGCCTCTCCCCCTCGTTCTCCTTTCTTCCTTTGGTTTTGGCTAACAGCGGACATGAACAACAGACTGTCCAGTGCCGCTGAGCTGCCGCACAGTCGTCAATTCACGTCAAGGATGGTGCGTTCAGTAACGCAGCGTTACTTGCCTTAGTAACTAGTAATAATATTACTGTTTCAGAAAGTTACACTACTAGTTAGTGGGAAAAGCAATATTATTACAGTAACGTGTTACTGCCCAACACTGCTCAGCACAGCTGTCATGTAGTAGTAGAATCAGTGTTCGTGCATACTTTGCCTTGCAAATGAGGTTTTAGCTTTTGAGGCTTCTTTATTTGTTTTATATTTGTGGTCAGTGGATCTCCTCACTTGTCTGCCTGAAGTACAAAGAAGGTCACAAGTTGTTGCTTTTACTTTGACATTTTTCTGTTCTTTTCTTTGTGCTTGGCTTTCAGTCTCATATTGAAGCCTTCTTTTCATGTTACTGTGAAAGCCACATTTCATGCAGTGTGTTCACACCAGTTACTGTGAAAACTATACAGTGTAAAAATGTGTTGAGAGTGAATGCTGCTGTGGATTAAACAACATATTGGCAAACAAGAAAGAACTCAGGAGTACAGACCTTCTTTACCAAGTTCTAATAATCATCCCAGTTACTCTCTCAGTCAACGGTGTACTGGTTAGTTACACAAGGCTAGTCAAAGTGAGGCCTGCTAGTAGTGTTAGATTGAAGACTTATTGGTCACCAATAAATGCAGATCCCATTTCACACCAGTTGGACACAGGGTTTGGAAATATTGTGGTTACAAACAGATTAATAACTTTTTTCTCTGGATTAAAATCCAGTAGAACACTACAGTACATTGTTTCTCCACAAATAAAGACAGCTCCACTTGTACAATGTTTCCTCCTGGTGGTGATATGAGCCAAATACTGCTGGACTTCAGGCCATTGACCTGTACCCCTTTTCACTCCGCCCTCTTTCTCTCGTACCATTATCTCCTCTGCCCCTCATCTGTCTTCTCAATCCATGTGGATATTTTTTTTTTCAACCAATGTACATCTCCTTTTCTGTTTCTCTTTCCTCTCATCTTACCCCCTCTCTGTGTCCTCCCTCTTTCCCTCTGCTGCAGAGTGAGTCGTGGATGGGAGGTGACGATGAGCCTCTGACAGGGTTCACCTGGAGAGGAGGCTGCGAGAGGGAGACCACAGGAATTCAGATCTGGAGCGAAGTCTTTGTGGTGGACAAGCCTGATGGCAGAAAGGTAGACGGTTATAAAACAAACCATACCCTTCAGTTCTTAGGAGCTTCATGAGAAAATGTTGTCACATGTGGTTGAAATGTCTTTTGGGAGAACCTTTTAAAATTTAAACGAAACACAAACACCAGATGTGTGTCTTGTCCCAACAGGTTGCTGTGCTCCTCGTTGACACTCAGGGAGCTTTTGACAGCCAGTCCACTATAAAGGACTGTGCTACTGTGTTCGCCCTCAGCACAATGACCAGCTCCGTACAGGTCAGACTTTAAGCATGTCTTGTTTGGTGGAAAATATGCTTTTTCTTTTCTCTCTGAAATGTCAAAATTCATGTTTCATTTTCAGGTGTACAATCTCTCCCAGAACATCCAGGAGGACGACCTGCAGCATCTGCAGGTTTGCGTAATTTCTTCTCCTCCCAGGAAAAAAGTACCACCAAAATCTGTAACAGTAATTTCTGTTTTCTGATCCTAATGTGCCTTTTCTCTCATATGCAGCTCTTCACAGAATATGGCCGGCTGGCAATGGAGGAGATCTACCTGAAACCTTTCCAGGTACTGTTCCTGTTGACTGTGTGTACTATTGAACTTGTCCATAAAATCCACCTATTCAGTTTAAAATTGGCTGCACAGCAAGTGATGTGTTTGCAATGAATCATTTTATGGGATTCACCCTTAACTGAAAACAGGATGGAAAAGTAAAACTTAATTTTGTTCCTTTATCATCAAAATCTAGCCCTTGTTATATCAGCTGTAAGTTTTCTTCCTAACAATAATGTGTCTGTAATGTTGGCGGTGTGTTTCAGTCCCTGATGTTCCTGATTCGGGACTGGTGTTATCCTTATGAAAACAACTATGGCCTGGAAGGAGGCAACAGCTTCCTGGAGAGAAGACTACAGGTGAGACTCATTTTTAAAAGTTGAAAATGCACATTTGTTTTGAGGATACAGGTTGCTGAGCAAAGGAACTGTTTTCCCTCACTATTTCTGTTGCACAACCACTGTTCCTGCCAGACACACCACACCTCTCTTTGAAAAGCACAGACACACTTAATGTCATTATCTGTTCAGGTCTAATTTGCTTAGTATGTCGAGTATGTGTATACACATTCAATCAAAGCACACTTTCACTGTGAGAGTACATTCTTGTCTGCTGACCCAGGTGAAACAGAACCAACATGAAGAGTTGCAGAACGTAAGGAAGCACATCCACTCCTGCTTCTCCAACATCGGCTGCTTCCTGCTGCCACATCCTGGCCTCAAGGTGGCCACCAACCCCTACTTTGACGGCAGACTGAAAGGTGAGGAAACCGGAACATGCACACGCATGCTGGACTGACATGACACGCTCTAGAGGACATTCACCTTGTGTGTTTCTGTGTTTCAGACATCGATGGGGAATTTAAGAGGGCGCTGGCCAAGCTGGTCCCTCTCCTCCTGGCCCCGGACCGACTGGTAGAGAAGGAGATCGGAGGCAACAAAGTGACCTGCAGAGATCTCCTGGAGTACTTCAAGGTCCTGCAGGATTTTAGTCCAGTGATTTTCACACTGAGAGACCACAGGTCGATAAACATAAAGCCTCAAATGATTCACTCTGCTGCCAAAAAAATAACAAACTTTAGAGTGAATAAAACAACACAAAATTGCTTTCTGTTTTTTGCCAGAGTAGACACAGATTTAGATGGATTAATCATGCACAGTGGCATCCCATAGGGAAAAAGACAAACGAAGTGAAGACATAAAGTAAAGCCAATGAGTTCAGTTTTTTTGCCACTCAATTTTGGTTTGCAAAGCTAGATTTAAATAGCTTGTTTCAGTGTTTGGTGGTATTGAATCCTGTTGCATGCTTCCAATATGTCCCCCAAAATGAGTGTTAAAAAAATTAGATGCTGGGCTGTTAATTTCTTGTTTTGCTGGCAGAATATTAACATTGTAGAGGAAACAGTGGTGTGATCATCTGTTTATTTTATGTTCCTGCAGGCTTACATAAAGATCTACCAAGGTGAGGAACTGCCTCACCCAAAGTCCATGCTGCAGGTTAGTTTCAAAACTGAGGGATCTTCTCAAGAAACAGGTCATGCTTTTTAGGTTTTAATTCACATCTTCTGTGGTAATAAAGGCTATCTCGAATGTCATTGTCTTTTCCTGTTTGTCAGGCGACCGCAGAAGCCAACAACTTGACCGCTGTGGCAGGAGCCAAAGACATGTACAGCAAGAACATGGAGCTGGTAAGGACATGTTTTTCATTCACACTCGGCATGAATCGTTATTGGTTCCGAAGGTTGTCAGGCCTCAGAGGGACCGCAGGGTGTAGTCATGGTCTAAATTCAATGTTTAAGGAAGCTAGCAGCACACTAACAGAATAGTTTGAATTACATTTCAATATGTAATAAAAATCCTGCACGTTGAATAGTGATTATCCAGTTGCATGCTACTGCAAAGTTTGAGCCCATCTTTGTCTTCCCTACAGTCCTTCTTCCTCTGTCACTTCATGTCTTTCCTTGTCAGGTCTGCGGTGGGGACAAGCCATACATCGCCCCGGCTGACCTGGAGCGCTTCCACGAGGAGTTTCGCGAGCATGCGGTTCATTCATTCCGCTCTGTGAAGAAAATGGGGGGCGATGAGTTCTGCCAGCGCTACCAGAACCAGCTGGAGTCAGAGCTGGATGAGGCCTACACCAACTTCTCCAAGCACAATGACGGAAAAAACATCTTCTACACCGCACGCACTCCCGCCACACTTTTTGCAGTCATGTTTGTCACCTACGTGGTGTCCGGGGTGACGGGCTTCATCGGCCTGAGCACCTTAGCAGCCCTGGCTAACCTGGTGATGGGTGTGGCGCTGCTGTCGCTCTGCGCCTGGGCATATGTGAAGTATTCTGGAGAGTTTCGGGAGATCGGAACGATGATAGATCTGGTGGCCGATACACTCTGGGAACAGGTGGGTTAACGATGTGAGAGGAGGGCGGAGTGTGTGTGAATGTGTGTGTGTTTGTCCACGTTAATCTACATGAGAGAGATTGCAGCAGGAAATAAACTGGTGATTGTCTGGTTGAAGACAGATTAACACTTTAAACAGTTAAATGGCTACATTTTTAATGGTGGTTGTTATGATTTAGGTATTAAGCTTGAGTTATATCTTTAAAATTACTGTTATTTAACAGTAGCATCTTTGGTGGTGGCTTTGAGAGCGATATAGTGACTGTTTCTGGTTAAACAAAAAGGTAACAGCAATCTGACCCTGTCAGTGGCAAAAATAAGCATTTCAGTGGACATACTTTGACGGGGCGCAATTGCCTACAAAGATTAAGTTGCAGCCCTTCGCTGCTGCCGACTGCAGCATGCTCGCTCAATACTGGACCAATTAAAAATAAAATGTCCCAATTAGTTGCACAGACACACAAATCTGGGAAAAGAGGTTGAAAAATTAAAAGATAGTTCAGTATCGGGCTTATGTGTTGGCCAGTAAGTAACAAACAAGAAATTGCAATACAGAAAAGCCATTGACATGTTTGAGGTAATATAGAAACAGTTTCTTTAAATTAGCGCTGAAACTAATGATAATTATCATTTTCAATTAGTATGTTGATTATTTCTGAAAATACCGAAGGTGTTGACTTCATCACTTCATCATCCAAAGCACAAACATTGTTTTCATTTCAGAAGCTGAAACCAGCCAGTCCTTCATGCTGGTCATATAATTAGAATATCATCAAAAAGTTGATTTATTACAGTAATTCCATTCAAAAAGTGAAACTTGGATATTATATTCATTCATTACACACAGACTGATATATTTCAAATGTTTATTTCATTTAATTGTGATGATTAAAACTGACAACTAATGAAAATCCCAAATTCAGTCTCTCCGAAAATTAGAATATTACTTAAGACCAATACAAAAAAAGGATTTTTAGAAATGTTGGCCAACTGAAAAGTATGAACAAGAAAAGTATGAGCATGTAAAGCACTCAATACTTAGTTGGGGCTCCTTTTGCCTGAATTACTGCAGCAATGCGGCGTGGCATGGAGTCGACCAGTCTGTGGCACTGCTCAGGTGTTATGAGAGCCCAGGTGCTCTGATAGTGGCCTTCAGCTCTTCTGCATTGTTGGGTCTGGCGTATCGCATCTTCCTCTTCACAATACCTCATAGATTTTCTATAGCAGGAAGCATGAAGTGCTCTAAAACTTTTTGTCTTTAGCCCAGGCGAGACGCTTCAGTCAATTAGCTGATTAGAGTGTGGCACCAGGTGTCTACAATATTGAACCTTTTTCACAATATTCAAATTTTCTGAGATACTGATTTGGGTGTTTTCATTAGTTGTCAGTTATCATCAAAATTAAAAGGAATGAACATTTGAAATATATCAGTCTGTGTGGAATGAATGTATAGATTATACAAGTTTAACTTTTTGAATGGAATTACTGAAATAAATCAACTTTTTGATGATATTCCAATTATATGACCAGCACCTGTAAGTTAAACACTTAATCAGGGAATTGCTTTCTGTCAGTGGAATGTTTCAGCCCTACATTACATAGCTTGTCCACCAGAGTGCACTGACGGTTTATTTTTCAACTTTAAATGTACCACTCAATACATATACAGTACTTCCTGGCTAATGGCAAAATTTAAGGGATACCAATCAAGAATGTTTGTTTTAAAACCAAATATCAGGCAATATGATGATCTTGGATTTTTATTTAATTTTTTGTAACTCCAGTAGAATAAAAAGTTACTGTCAATTTACTGAACCATATTTGTTATGCATACTGTGTAATGTTGGGGTAGTGATTTAACCAATAATGTGTGCTGGAAGTGTGTCTCTACATATTGTTTGTTTATTATTATATTTTTATGTTACTTTGGGGTTTTATACTGTTTTGAAAAAAGTATTTGTGTTACAGGACTGCAGAGGTAAACTTGAACTGACCTGAGGAATAGTTATATTTGTGAAAACTGGGGATTAGTATTGGTTAAGTTGGGGTTTAGGTTAAAGCCTTCTTAGTTTAAAGTGAGTGACCTTTTTTTTTTTTTTTTTTTTTTTTTTTAAATTACATTGTTGCCGTTGTTGCCTTTTTATTTCCAGGTGTTAAAAACCAAAAAACCAGAGAAAGAAGAATCCTCCCAACAGTTTTTATTTCCTTCTGTCCACTGCACGTTTATGATCGTTGTCTCGCCTTCACATCCCATCATTGATCTCACAAAGAACCGTTGTTTCAGTTCACCTTTCAGCGCTCCTTCCACACTGAAACTCTGTCAGCACCTTTTTATTTGCTCTCACTGTCTCTTCATTCCTCCCATCCATTGTTGGCCTGTAGACTACTCAGGAGAGCAAACAGGAAGTCAGATTGTGTGTTTCTTATTTTGAGTTTTCATGGATGTTTGATATTCACCGCAAGCGCAGCCGTCATGTCTCCTCTGACTTCTCCCTCCTTCCTCTGCTTTTGTCTCTCTTCCTCCCTCACCCACTTTACAGAAGACGGTCAGAAAGGTGAGAGGTGTTGCTTCCCATTCCTCTGAACTTGTGCCTGCCCCTCTCAACATCATGCTTTTCCTTTCATTTTACTTTCTCTTCCTGATACCAGTCTCCCTGTATTCTTTTCATTTGTATGGTTCAACATCTATCATGCTTTCTCAGTCTTTCATCTCTCCTTATTTCCTTTTTTAAACTTTTTGTTTTTCTCCAATATTTCTTCTGGATCATCTTCTTTTCCCCTCCGTCTGCTCCGGTGTCTACCTCGCCTGTCGGTCTTGTTCCTTGTTTAACTGTACTGTTCCTCCCTGCTGTCCTCTCAGGTGTTTTCCAAACTTTTGGAGCCTGTCAGGAGCCGCCTGGCTTGGCCCATCTCTCTCCTGCCTTCATTGCCATCAGGAGCAACACTGGGACTCGAAGCCCTGTCTCCTCTCAACAACAACATCTACAAGAAGACAAACTAGCTGCTTGACGACTGGCAGACTTACAGACTGTTAAATTTCCTTCTCTTTTTGAAACTTCTGCAGTTTGCTGGCTTCTTTATTGTTAATTTGTCAGTCTAATGGTGCTGGATTCTCATACTTAAACCACCGGATTCCTCTGACCTTCACTGAATGTATCTGAACACCTGCAGGCTGGGCCCATCTCAGGATCTCAAGGACTTGAAGCCTGCCCAAACGGTTTTTAATAATCTTGAATGGTTCATATATTTCTTTCAGTTAAAGACGTTGTGTTGTGAGTCTTGTTTTGTTTGTGGTCAGCATGTTGGAGACTACGTCCTGTTTTTCGTTCCTTTATTTTCCCTTAAACGTTTTTTTCTCCTAACCTACTTTCTTTCAGTTTCTTTGTCCCCTTTTATAGACGATTTTTCAGACGAGTCAAGTTGATTTGTTCTCACACAAAATCCTCTTCTTCTGTTTCTCCTCTCCTGCAGGTTTTGAAGCCATTAAGCGAACATTATATGGAAGACAACGTCAGACAGACGGTGGTTAACTCTATCAAAGCCAGCTTGACAGAACAGGGCTCGCAGAACACCAAGTTAAAGACTCACTGACGCTCTTCCTCCTCACCTCCCCCATCTTGTTCATCACCCTCCCGCCCATTCGCTCGATGTGCTCAATCCTAGAACTGTGGAACTAGTTCAACACCAAAGCTGTTTGCCCCCTAAAAACTGACCATCACATTGCTGCCCCGTCTTTATTCGCTGTCGTGGACCTGTAGGCCCGCTGTCTGCCCTGCTCTTCATCGCCTCCCAGTGCCTGAGAGCAGAAACTGCACATTCATGAGAGGACCGAGCGGAGAAGCCGGCGGCGTCCTCACTTGCCAAAACAGGACCTGAAGGACTGTCCTCTTCTCCAGTGTGCCATGCTGTGATAGGTGCACGTGGTGTAGTGCATACTGTAGGCCGACACACACTTGACACCTTTGCTGATAGCGGACTGCACTCGCTTCAGATTAGAGCTGTAATTCAGGGAAAACTGACAATGCTGTGGGCAGCGGTTGTCAACAGTGGACGCAAACTAAAGCCCTTTTCTGTGCATTTAATCATTTTGTCTTACAGGCCAGACAGTTCAGAGCTCAGTTTGCTTTCTCTTCAGCCTGTTGATTTAATGTTTCCTACAAGCACAAGTGACTAATCGACTCAGAAAACTAATCATGAGGTGATTGTCGTTTTTTTTCTCGTCATTTCAGCAAAGTCAGGAAACATATTTTATTGATGCTACCGAAGTGAAAGTAAATTGAAAACCCCTGTCATAGACGAGCTGGAGAGACTATTTTAACTGTCAAATTTCCAACCTGTCCCCTTCTACAAATCTGAACTGAACAGACGAGTGCAGAAAATCAAGCAGAAACTGTCTCTTCTTCTGACATGTAGTACTTCACCTGCCTGCCTCTGTTCATTCAGCTCTCCACACCAACTTTGGAAGGTGTGTGTGTGTTCACCAGGTTACATAATCAAACTCTGGGCTCAGGTTGCTTCTAGACACCACCTCTGCATGTCTCTCTGTGTCTCCCTTTAATATGTTGTGATTGTAATCCTGAAGAGTACTGTAGGAAGCCCCGAGCCTCTCAGCTGATGTTTGATCTGTTTTTAATTTAGAACTGACGTGTTTTATCTGGCCTAGCGTCTCGTAGCAGACCTGCCAGCATTTGGCCCTCTGCATGGTGTTAAGAGGTACTGTGTTGTAGCACTAAGGTAGCTTTCAGAGCCCAGGCCTCTGTAGTTGGGTAGCCAGGAAGGACTATCATTTTGAACCTTTTTCTCTTCCCCTGCCTTTCATTAAAGCCCTGTTTTCCCTTTGCATTTTTAGGAGCTACAGGCTGTAAGTTTTATTCATTTAAACATCATCTTTAACTCAAATGCCTATTACCCCTCTAAAGGAATATGACATTGTCATTCATAATTTTGCTTATTTGCTTTCTTGCTGAGAGTTAGAATGACATCCTTATATATGTCAGCTAAATATGAAGCTACTTAGCCGGTTAGCTTAGCATAGAGACTGGAGGCAAGGTGAAATGGTTCTGGTTTGTCCAAACTTTTAACATCTTCTACCAGCTCCTCCAAAGCTCACTAATTAACACGTATCTTGTCAAGTGTAAAAATAGTAAATAAAAACAAATTTTACACTTTATTTTTTGTACAAATTAAACAAATGTGTTTAATTAGTGAGCTTTAGCAGTGCAAGTAAGCAGTATTTTGGGGGTTTTTTTACGTTTTGTACAGAACCAGTCTAGCTCTTCGCCCCCGTTTCCAAGCTTTATGCTAAGCTAACCAGCTGTTGGCTGTTGCTTCATATTTAACTGACAGATCTGGGGGTGGATCTGTCTTATCTGTCCCCCTTCTCACTTGACTCTTATCCCTCTCTTCAGCGAAAGATGCTACAATCAGTCAAATGGTGAGTACCATTTACAATTTAAAAAGTGGTTACTTCACAATAAGAACCTGAACTAAATGGACTGAAGAAACTTTTTTCCTTTTGGTTTTTCTATCATTTACTTTTTTCAACAGCTGCACCACATCTGTCTGAGCTCTTTTGATTCCATCCACATTATTTCTCACCTCAAGCGCCATCTTGTACTGTAGTCTCTCTTTGTGTTCACATATTACAAACCCGGGCATGTATGTTGGATTAAATATTTAAATAAACTTTGTATACATTTTATAGTGAATCATTTGACAATTGCTGTTTTTTTTCCTTTTGATCAACTTAACAGTTTGTGGTTTGTTTAAGAATGATAAGTTGCTGCTTTAGGGTTTACACTAGCTTTCTCCTTTTTGTGAGGACGGACGTTAATAGAAACATGTCGTGTGAATACTTGGAATCTGATAGGACAATGTTTTGATTGTGATGAGTGGGTTGGAGACAGTCTGCCTTTTAAAGGCATCTCTGGTAATTTATTTTTGAATAAAATGTGTACCTTAAGAATAAAGCGTCAATTCAGTTCTTTTGGCTCCTTTTTGTATCTGTTCATTTTGGAAATTATTTGGTACAGATCTTATGTAGTCTGAACCAAATGGCCAAGAAGCAATCTCAGGTTTGGCTTCTCTGTTGCTTACATGCTGTTTTTTTCCTTCTTACACATAAGCACAGTTCTCAACACACACTCCAATTTTGTCATGTCTTTACAACACTCAACACTTTTCATGCATTGCGCACTCACTGCAAAAATCAAAAGCACAAAACAATGCAGCACATTTCTAGTAGTAGTTTCAGTTATGTGTTTTCTGCAGGATAATACTAAAGAACCTGCTCTGCGTAAGAAAACTGCATGTTTTACATCAGATTTTGTCTCATTTGTAGAATCAATTTAGCTTCTAATATATAATTGTTGTATTTGCATCTTTAGAAAAAGTCAGTTTTTCTTTTAATGTCTTTGATGTTTAATTCTAGCATCTTTTTAGGAGAATATAACTATAAGGATATGACCAGAAAAAAAGAAATGTTGTCATCCAGTAATTCAGCCCTGAGTAGTGTCTGCAGGGATTTACTTCAGGTTGCTTACAGCCGCAACCTCTAAATAAGGAGAGGGTAGCCTGAGAGGCACAACCAAGGGCAAAAAAAGAGTTAAAATGTGCCAGGTGGCTACAACTCCAATAAAAAATGACGTTACTCTGTAACCGCTGGATGTGTAAATAAGAAACTGTTCACTAACAACTTAGTCATAACTTAAAAGGCAATGTTGTGTGTCCACAAGTAGGAGTAAAAAGTCAGTTACTAAAAGGTTTACCTGACCTTGAGTGTATCAACCAAAAAGATCCCACACACTTGTCCTGACCGTTGTTTTAAACAGTCTCAGCTCTTCACCTGCAAAGGCAACGCCCACACATGACCCCACAGGGTGTCACAATTAGATCTTTACAATAAAGACTTTATAATACAGAAATGTTGACCAGAGAAGAGCTCTAATCAGCTAATTAACTGAAAACACCCGCAGCAGTTTCCTGTGCCTTTAGTCTCTCAGTCTGGTTCTGGTGTTAACAAAGAATGAAATCTTTTGACATGCACCTGTATGTGTTTTTTGAATCTCGCGTTTACTATGTTGATACCAGTGCTTCATTTTAGTGGGGAAATGTGAGGTTAGGTGAACAGGTATAGTCTGGGGAAAGTGTGTTAATGCAGTTGGTATATGGGGTTTATTTTAAGAAATGTATGTAAGGAATGGAGAATCTCAAAATGTGTTATAGTAGTTTGGTCTATTCTAAATAGTAGAGCTTTTTTGTGAGTGGAGTTAAGAGTTCAGTGGCTTTGATTCATTAAAAGGTGGAAAGGCTGCATTTTCCCGTGACTAACATAGAGGCATCTTCTTGTGTCCCTCTGAGCATTTAACTTCATTATTCAGTCACATGCAGCACAAGGACAAGATCAGCAGTTATCAGCTGAACCAGTTTATACTGTTCTTTAAAGTGAATTAAGTAAAGAGTGGTTTCTATCAGCAGAGGGCCTGAAGAAGTGTGTATGTGTGTCCAGATGTTTCATAGCACATAAATATTGACAAGATATTCCTCATTGGCCGGGGCCCTGTTTCAGAAAGCAGGTTCAACAAACTCTGAGTGTAAACCTGAACTCTGGGTTGACGAACTCTGAGCTGTCAAACTCCGGGTTTCCGTTTCAGAAATCAGATCCGATCAGAATAAGTTCAGTCAACTCTGAGTATGTTGAGCCTGATGGGAGCGCGTGGGTGGGGATGGAAAAAAGCCATAGTCAATGGAGCTCCGATACTACGATGGCAACGGGTAAATAAAGGCAGAGCCTCCATTTTAATCGGGTGGAGCTAGAAATATGAATGTTGCCAACGTGGACCATGATTGGCTCCAAAACGCAAGATCGATACGTTAACAATATTACATTGTATACAGCGTTGCTCATTCATTATTTACCAGACTTAATGAATGATAAAGTGCTGGAATTCTCCTCCAGCCTGTTATTCATTTTAAATAGCTACAGGCCTGTTTATTTAGCTGGAAACCAAATGATTTTTTGCAATATAAAATGTGTCTAGGTTCAAACTGACTGTGAAGTTTTAGACATCTATGTTCCATTAATAAAATCTTCCTCGTATTTTATGAAATGCTGTCAAAACAAATTCAGACTATCAACGGATAATGAAAAATTGAATGAAAAACTCACTTTTAAACTACATTTATTTGTTTCAGCTGCACCACAGTCATCCTCACTCAGAAATATTCACATCATATCCAGCTGATAACTACGATGGGAATGTTCAATCGGTGCGACTACAATATGAAAGGTTATTGTTCATTGATCATTTTTATACAGATTACTTTAAACAGTGATTACTGCAGCACTGTAGCGCACTGTAAGTGTTTTGCCCTAATGTCCACAGAGTCACTGTGTTATAAAGAAGGACAGTGTAGCTTATAGATTTTATTCTGTGCTGAAGATAAATTTACGATGTCCAACTCTCTGTCCATACATCGATGACAGATTGATCATAAAAGCGTCATGTTCAAGATCATGTTTGGGTGAAAAAAAAAAAAAAAAAACTACGAACCTATTTAAACGTGATTTCGATGTTTCTAAAGACGTAATTGTGTTCCAATATGTGCTTTGATATCGACAGTATAATTGAGGAAATGACACGGTGTGTGTGAGACATCCGCTTCAAGCTCCGCAGGAGGAATCAGGTTATCGAGCAGGTTAGGTTCACAGACCGGGGGTTACAGACCTAGAGTTTATCTGATCTCGCTCTCTGAAACCGAAAACCCAGAGTTTCCCTCATCTTGGGCTCAACTTATTCAGAGTTTTCACTAAACCCGCTTTCTGAAACAGGTCCCAGGTCATCTCTAACCTGACCAGCTGCTGAGATGTTGAGCAGCACGTTTCCAAAAATTACCAACAGGAGGAGCCAGATTCTTAAAAATACACAGTTTTATTTTTATCACAGAATGGTATTAAGCTGCAATACTAGTAACATTTTAATGGTCCGTGCCAGACTCCCATAACAACCAAAACACAAAGTATGGAACAACAGACCAACGTTATCCTAACAGGATGTTCGAGATGTATACAACTGGTGGTAATAATATTGTGTAAAGCAGACTTTTTTTGAAAGCATCAAAAGGCCACAAAAATGCAAAGAAATAAAAATATAACACTGTCAGGCATGAAGCCTTTTATCCTCCCCCCATTCATAACGATATAACTAACTTAAAAAATATACTAAAAACTACTTCAACTACAAAAACTTCTCTTTCATAAGAATACTTTCAATGAGAAACGTCACAGGCTCCAGAGAGCCAAAGAGTGAGATTTTAAAAAGTCTACTTATCTCAAGATGGCACATCTCACATCACTGACTGGCTGCATATATTTCTTTTTGCTGTGTTCAAAAATACACGTGTTTTTATCAGGAAGACGCAGTAACAGCAAAAACTTCACGAGTCTGGCTGAAAATCTAGATGGAAAATGTGACCTCTGTTTCTATTTGGTCGGTCAAACTGTAGTATGAGAGGATGTTTTCAGATAAACAAAAAAGACCCAAGCTGGTACAACTGAATCATCTGAAACTACTGGAGGCACAAATGGACAAACACTACTCTCTAAGACAATGAATATTCAGCAGTTAGTGGCCCAGATTAAAACCTCATCTTTATGATTTAGTCTGTCCTTACATCCTTTAAACAACATACTTTCTTATGAGGAAGCTTACACACACACACACACACACACACACACAAAGTACAGAGAGAGAGCGAAGCGGTTGACATGCAGTTTCATGGGTCATGATCTCCCTTCAAAGTTCATCATTTTCCCATGTTGTCTTCATGTATTTGGCTTGATCAGTTAAAAAGCTGCAACAGTCCAGAGTGAAGGGACGCTCAGGTTTCATGTTTGATGTGCAAACACCATAAAAACGAAGTCCACAAATTGATGGTTTAAAAATTTACCAGGTAATGTAGATGAGCCAAACACCAGCATCCAAGAGCCTCGTTTATAAAACAAAAAACAAAAAACGTGAGACTTTATTTACACACCATCATAATGTCATTTGATCTCTAAAAGAATGTGATTGTTTTAAAGAAAGTGAAATCTAATATTTTATGAACATAAATTATTATAATTTTGTGTAAAGGAACATATTATGAAAGAGGCTCTGTGACACTGTGTGGTCTTAATTAATCTGGGAAAACTTTAAACACACCTTGAAGAAGTCTACATAATATAACTGGTACACTTTTGGTTTTGATTTGCTAGTTGAGTTGCACTCTGTAAAATTAATCTCAGAGAAACAACCTTTTTGATCAATGGCGCTGATTGGAAAGTATCCCCAAGAAACAGGAGAAGCAAGCATACGTTTTACACACTGTGCTGCAGAGTTTGGAGGGAAAATATTGAGTAACATGTTTCAGCTTATATTGTGGCCGTGAGTGCTTGATGAGACGAATCTCTGCTGTACACTTCAGAAGACTGAGGTCCTCCAGTCTTCTAGTCTGCCGTCTCCTGTCAGATGATGGAGACGGAGATGGTTGTGGAGGATCTCCCATTAAATGTAAATATAGGGAGTGTTGGAGGGCGGGGTGGTCTAATCTACGTCTATTGAAGGGTCTACTGGGGATTTCAGATCATGGCCCGGAAAGCAAATGAGACTGCAGCGCCCAGCGCCAAGCCGAGGGACAAGAAGAAGGCCATGATGGCCCCTGCCGTCTCTGCCTCATGCTGTGGCACCTTCCTGTACAGAGACAACAGAGGGAAAAAATTCATTAGGAATGAGTTGTTCACCAATAAACACAACGGTGTCCGTGGTAAATTAATATACACTACCGTTCAAAAGTTTGGGGTCACATTGAAATGTCCTTATTTTTGAAGGAAAAGCACTGTACTTTTCAATGAAGATAACTTTAAACTAGTCTTAACTTTGAAGAAATACACTCTATACATTGCTAATGTGTTAAATGACTATTCTAGCTGCAAATGTCTGGTTTTTGGTGCAATATCTACATAGGTGTATAGAGGCCCATTTCCAGCAACTATCACTCCAGTGTTCTAATGGTACAATGTGTTTGCTCATTGGCTCAGAAGGCTAATTGATGATGAGAAAACCCTTGTGCAATCATGTTCACACATCTGAAAACAGTTTAGGTCGTTACAGAAGCTACAAAACTGACCTTCCTTTGAGCAGATTGAGTTTCTGGAGCATCACATTTGTGGGGTCAATTAAACGCTCAAAATGGCCAGAAAAACAGAACTTTCATCTGAAACTCGACAGTCTATTCTTGTTCTTAGAAATGAAGGCTATTCCATGCGAGACATTGCTAAGAAATTGAAGATTTCCTACAACGATGTGTACTACTCCCTTCAGAGGACAGCACAAACAGGCTCTAACCAGAGTAGAAAAAGAAGTGGGAGGCCGCGTTGCACAACTGAGCAAGAAGACAAGTACATTAGAGTCTCTAGTTTGAGAAACAGACGCCTCACAGGTCCCCAACTGGCATCTTCATTAAATAGTACCCGCAAAACACCAGTGTCAACATCTACAGTGAAGAGGCGGCTGCGGGATTCTGGGCTTCAGGGCAGAGTGGCAAAGAAAAAGCCATATCTGAGACTGGCCAATAAAAGAAAAAGATTAAGATGGGCAAAAGAACACAGACATTGGACAGAGGAAGACTGGAAAAAAGGTGTTGTGGACGGATGAATCCAAGTTTGAGGTGTTTGGATCACAAAGAAGAACGTTTGTGAGACGCAGAACAAATGAAAAGATGCTGGAAGAATGCCTGACGCCATCTGTTAAGCATGGTGGAGGTAATATGATGGTCTGGGGTTGCTTTGGTGCTGGTAAGGTGGGAGATTTGTACAGGGTAAAAGGGATTCTGAATAAGGAAGGCTATTACTCCATTTTGCAACGCCATGCCATACCCAGTGGACAGCGCTTGATTGGAGCCAATTTCATCCTACAACAGGACAATGACCCTAAACACACCTCCAAATTGTGCAAGAACTATTTAGAGCAGAAGCAGGCAGCTGGTAGTCTATCGGTAATGGAGTGGCCAGCGCAGTCACCAGATCTGAACCCCATTGAGCTGTTGTGGGAGCAGCTTGACCGTATGGTACGCAAGAAGTGCCCATCCAACCAATCCAACTTGTGGGAGCTGCTTCTGGAAGCGTGGGGTGCAATTTCTCCAGATTACCTCAACAAATTAACAGCTAGAATGCCAAAGGTCTGCAATGCTGTAATTGCTGCAAATGGAGGATTCTTTGACGAAAGCAAAGTTTGATGTAAAAAAGATCTTATTTCAAATACAAATCATTATTTCTAACCTTGTCAATGTCTCTTCTCATTGACTCCATTTTCTATTCACTTCACAACGTATGGTGGTGAATAAGTGTGACTTTTCAGGAAAACACAAAATTGTTTGGGTGACCCCAAACTTTTGAACGGTAGTGTGTGTGTGTATATATATATATATATATATATATATATATATGGCATCATTTAAAGGAATAGTTCAACATTATAGGAAATATTCTAATTCAGAACAGATTTAAAAAAAGGCTGTAATTGGTGAACATTGTTTTATGTCAGCTTGTGTTGGAATTTTAGCATTTGTTTTACATATTGTATACATGCTTTCTGTAGTTTATTTTGCTTTATGTTCAAGTCTTTGTGTGTTATCAGGGCAAGACAAACATTTTCCTGGGGACAACACAGTTAAAGTAAAAAGCTGACCACTCTCTGTCTATACGGCAAGTATCGCTCTGAGAGTAGGGCTGTACAAACAAGTTGATCATTCAATAATCAAATAAATTTTAAAAACATGTCTAATCAATAAATCAACATTTTATTCAATCATCCTGATGAAGCACATTAGAATAATGACAATAGTAGCATATCTTAAAATGAATCAAATTTCCACGTCACTGATGTGTTGTGATAATAATAACAATAAGAGGCATTAATTGGCCTACTTTACTTAAAACCTTAAATGTTTCTGACATTTATTTCAATATTGAGTACTATGCAGTATGATAATCAAATGTATTTCTGCATCCCAAGTAAAGGTAATACATAATAACCGAGTTAAATAACTTGGCAAGTTGGTAGGGAATTAAATATAAAAGTGTCACTTACAATCGATGCTGTAGCTGTAAACAGTAGCGGTCGAGCTTTCAGTGCAACGTAAACAAACAAAGCAGCATGTAACCTTTCAGACCCACCTCTCCGCTGTGCTATAAAACCCATTATTTTCAATGGCTTGTGCTGCACCACGGCAGTTTGCTGCTATGTCGACCAACACGTACCGCATCGCTTGGCGAGCTCGAGCGCTGTCAAGTAGTTGAACTTTTGCGCTGAACCCAGCTTCTAGCGCAGCACAAATCGCTTCTTGTCTGAAAGGGCCTTTATGGAAGAACGGAGTTCTCTAAAGACCTTCAGTCTCTGAACATTTAACGTTACATCCTGTTGCCTCCTCCTGTCTGTGTTGAGAAAACATTGCCAGGTGTAAAACACTAACATAACTTCAGGTGCTTAAAGACTATAACAATTAACAGCATTTCAGTTCTCATTCATAGCATTTGTTTCGATGTCTCACTATGGGACGCGCCTCCCCGCGTATTCCTCAGAAGCATTTATGTCAGTACGCCAATCCTGATTGGCTGTTGATCGTGGTGTCTGCGTCTAGTGGACCCACCTACCCTTAAATAGCTTACGCTACAACGCAACACCATTAAAAATAAGCACCTCTTCTCGCTTCGCCCCAGCAAGAAGGGCTGTCTGGTGAGACATCTCACTCATGCTACTCTGAGAACCGGGGTCACGCAAGTAACCTAAAGTTCTCATTCATAGCATTCGTTTCGATGTCTCACTATGGGATATGTAGACTCCCGAATTGCCAGACAAGCTTATCTCAACAACCACCGGCTCTCAGGAAGCAGCACTCTGTTCCAGCGTGGGCCCTGTGCTCAGCACTGCACGCGCCACACTCTGACCCGAGACATCCAGTTTATAAAACCGGGCAAAGGTGAGGGGCGAGGACCAGGTCGCCGCTGCACAAATGTCCTGGATAGGGACCCCCTTAAACAGGGCCCAGGATGCAGCAAGGCCACAAATTGAGTGAGCCCGTAGGCCAGAGTAATCGATCCCACAATCCAGTGGGAGAGCCGTTGCTTGGTAACAGGCTTGCCCATACAGGGGCTAGCCCAGGACACAAAGAGTTGGTCTTCTCCGAAACCCCCTAGTCCTGTCCATGTAAAAGTGCAGGGCTCGGACCGGACACAGCACATGCAGCCGCTCCAGGTGTTACCCCAGAAATATTATACTCCGTGCTGGGGACAGCATGCTCTTCTCGGTGTTTATTATAAAACCCAAATCTGTAAGATGTCTTATGAGTATGCGCATTTGCAACACTGACACCTGCTCCGACTGTGCCAAAATGAGCCAGTCGTCCAGATATGTAGCCAGACGGAAACCCTGCCGTCTCAACGGGGCCACAGCCACTTCGGACAATTTCCTCCTGTAGAATACGAGCTGACTCCCCCTGAGCCCGCGAGCATACAATGCCTGAGAAGCGAGGGGGGATGACAGCGAATTGAAGCCTGTAACCCCTTGATATCGTTCTCAGCACCCAGGCCGAAGTCGTGAGCGCCGCCCACCTTTCCCTCATCAGCGAGAGAGGGGTGCGGCGTCAATAATGGCGTTATGGGGCCATTTAGCGGCGGGGCGCGAGCGTGACTCCTGGTCGACACTGCGCATGCGCGAGGTGTTTGTGCACCGACGGAATCGGCAGCGTCCCGCGTCCTGAAGGGAGAGCTCTCCTCTCTGAACCGAACCGCTTATTGTTTTCCTGTTCATTGTTTTTAACTGGGCCCTTGACCTTAGGCCTGGATGCGGCAGCGGAACATGCTTTTTTGTTAATAAAGAGTGAGGGTGTGTGCTTGTGCGACTTAAAGGGAGGGCAGAACCTGCTGCCTCCGCTGCAAAGTCTCTCTTCTCCTCGACCGAGACAGTGCACGCCACAGCGGGGAGTTGGGGGGGGCGGGAAAGCCCCCGCATCACCCGCAACAGATGTGTTCCATCCCGAGGCAGGAAGAGCAGACCTGGTGTGTGTCCCTGCTCGAAATTTTATTCCCGCAGCGGCAGAGCCGAGCCCCGTCTCCTCTGGTGTTAGGGGGATTAGAGTCAATCTTCGTTAGCTGGAGTGCTAATTAAGAAGAACGTCGCATTAGCTAGTGTGCTGACACGTACCTTACCGTAAAACGGCTAGGCGGGTAATGTTCCAGTCTGTGGTGAGACCAAAGAGTCGAAGCCTGTCGAAGGCAGCTAGCGCCCGGCGACTGAGATGTCAGCTCTTATCTGTGGCCAGTTAAGTCAGCTAGCCCGTACGACAGATTGAGGTATGCTCCGAAGCGAGAAGAGGTGTTTGAATGGTGTCTGCATTGTAGCGTAAGCTATTTAAGGGTAGGTGGGTCCACTAGACGCAGACACCACGATCAACAGCCAATCAGGATTGGCGTAATGAGATAAATGCTTCTGAGGAATACGCGGGGAGGCGCATCCCATAGTGAGACATCTCACTCATGCTACTCTGAGAACCGGGGTTACGCAAGTAACCTAAAGTTATTAATAACACTGCACTCAATTTCTTTCTATCATTTTCAATAAAACTTAATGCGTATGGATGAGAGTTGATGACAATAACAGGTAAGTTTATTCCCCTCCTCAATAACAATTTCCCCTGGGGAATAAATTAAGTTAATATTCCTCTTATATTAACAATAATAAATATTTAAAATCATATTAATGCATAACAATCATGATCATCGTGAAACCCTGATGATTCCTCAGACTATTATTGTACCAACAAAATCTGTAATCGTCTTTAGTTAATGCTGGACAGTTTGTCATGGTTGTTTTTTTGTGGGTTTGTTTGGTACTTCCTGTTATTTTGGTAAACCCTTCCTCTTGTGTATTGGTGTATTTCACTTCCTGATTCTGTTTTTCATCTCTGGTTTGTTGCTCATTATCTTCCTCTCCTCTCGTTTCTGGTCCCTTCCCTTCCTGCTCTGGTATTTATCCACTAGTTTGTTTGTTTTATTCTTCCCTGATTGTTTCCACCTATGCTTCGTTTATAATCTCCCTCTTGTATTTAAGTCTGTGTCTTCAACAGCACATCAAAGCACTGTAGTAAGTATTTCGTGGGGTATGTTTTTTTGACCCACAGACTGTATGACCAATAATTGAAGGTCATTTCCACCACATCAGACATTTCTGGACACGTTTGAGTTTTGCCTTTGTGAATGCAAACTGGATCAGTTTTAAAAATTTAAACAATGTATCATCCTCCTATTTGTTCGATTCAGGAACCGGACCTTTAAGTTGAGAACCCGCCCTTAGTAAACTGTCTGACTGTTTTGCAGTGGGGTCCAAAATCCCTTGTTTCCCTGTGTCTGCACTTAGACAGATGTGACACAGTTAATATCTCTGATTCTTGTGCATCGACTTTTGATTTGTATTCTTTATTCCACACATTTCTCTTCGTTGTCAAAACCTGTACATAACTAGAGTAGCATTGTTAGAGTGGTCATGATCTTGTTATCTTATTCTTGAAAAGAAAACATAAACATGAAACGTCCACTGTGTCATCTGCAACACCAAGTATACCGGGCTTAATGCTCAATTCAGATTTCTTTCCCCAGCTCCGATTTTTTGTTTGTTTTTTGTTTTTGTTTGTTCACATCATTGCTTAAACGTAGTCCATATCAGACTCCAATGTGTACTGTCGATTTCTCGCAACTGCCCATCTAACTAACGTTATACTCCCTCTCTCTCCCTCTTTCTCTCTCTCTCGCTCTAGTGCATCCGCTCAGACAAATAGCATGCACATAACTCAGAGAGCTTGCAGTGCGGTGGATTTCAGGTGTAAGCTAAGGAATTTGTGGGCAGATGATAGCGAGGTAGAGGAAAAATGAGATCCACATGTTTAATTATGGCTTTTTGTGGAGCTTTTTCGTTCACCGCGGCTCCGTCTACAGCAGAACTGTGAAAACAGCTGCTCTAGAGTGACGTCTAAGTCGCATCAGTACCGACCTGAGTTTCCAGACCTAAAAAATCCAATCTGTATCCAAATCCAAACTGGAAAAGATCAGATTCCATGTGACTTGGCCTGTTCACACTGCTATAAAAAGATCTGGGTCACTTTGGCCTGCAGTCTGCACCTAGCCTTAGTTTACACAGTCCCACCGAGTATACCGTCTGTTTGTAGTTCTTACTTGGGTCCGAAGCACATGCAGAGACTGGCCAGGTATCCGTTGGAGAAGGAGAAGATGATCATGAAGATGATGTACAAGGCATCGTGTTCAAACACCACGGGGAGGTGGTGACGAGGCTGGACATTGCACAGCATGAAGAGAGGTATGAAGATGACTCGCAGACCCACCAGGACAGGAAGCCACAAACTGTCTTTACCCGGCTGGAAAGAAACACAAAACGTTAAGCACAGACAAGGAACTCGTAACTTCAATTGATAAAAACACTGTAACTAAGGATGGGCGATTATAAAACGATCACAAAAATATATAACAAATGTTCAATACAATTCATTTCAATCACAAACAAATCAGCACTTCATTTTTCTATTAAAATATTAATTTTGTTGAAGGAAAAGGACTGAAAAGATTTTATCATCATAATTGTTATGAATTGTCCAAACTACCTCAGATTTGTTAAGTGATCCACTGTTTGGTAAGTATTAAGAATAGTTTAAAAGCACTATTATATTATTACCAGAAGCAACAAAATCTGCCTTTAAACTTCAAAAGAAATAATAATTTAACATTTATCGTGATAATTATCGATCTCGAATGATATGACATTTTTGGCCATATCGCCCAGTCCTAACTGTAACACAGTTTTGGGTGTTTTTATTTCCCGATAACTCTGTAAATACACAGATCTAGAGTATTTATTTATGAATTTTGTGTTAGCTTTTTTTTCTCTTTTCTTCGCCAGTTAGTCGGAGGGTTTTGGAGACCGGGATGGGGATACAATCTGCAGTTGCGCAGCATGATGTAATTCATTCTAGATTTGCAGTGTTTCTCTTTTTAACACCGTAACACCTGTTTGCCTGTGTTTTAAAAACACTGTTTAAATTCCTCCGGAGACATTTATGAGCTGTAAACTACTACTCTGTCAAGTTGTCGCCTCAGAGGAAACCATCAGGATCCTGATCAGCGCTGCTTTATGATGATAAATAAACTCACATGGACCTGGAGCAGCTGACTACTGTTAACTGCACTAATACCAAGAAGCTGCATTCCAGTGCAGGTCAGGCGGGGTTAACTTGCTGTAGTTTGGACAGAATGAACTGATTCAATTTGATTATTTCTTCTGGATAGCTAATTATTTCTTCTACATTTTTGAATGAATTTGAATTGAATGCTGTTAAAGGAGCTAACAGAGAAACAATAAAAGACATTAGTATGATTATTGATGTTTTGATTAGTTTAAAGAAAACTGCCTGACACATTGATAAAACAATGGATAAAAACTATGAAGCTGGATTAGCTTTCCATTAAGCTTGTAGCAGAATACAATTTGGGACATGATAATAGACACGGTGCTCAATGTGGTGCGTCTGTGAAGGCTTCCCAGCAGTTCAATAACATCCAACTGTCATCATTCATCCAGATGTGTATGTAAGAGTGAGCATCACTCCTCTTTGACCACCAAAACAACTTCCTTTACACAGAGTACACGCACACACGCACTTTTATCCAAAACAAACCTCTGATCTCAGCAACAAAACTCACCTCCTTTATTTTCACCCCGAACTCTGAGCGACTGTTTTTTTCCATCATTCCACTCATGACTCTGTGATTAATTCCTGTGTAAACATTTTATGCAGCCAAAGGTGTCCATTAAAGTGTCGACAAGTGTGTCTGTTGTCCATGGCACTGCACGCCAGCCAGACAACAGCAGACCACGCTAAACATTTTGATGTGGTCATTTTAAATAGACCATATAAGGCAAAAGTGTTTATAGGGTCCTCGCTAGTCAAGCTGTAGCTACAAAGGCCACATCCACACTACTGCGTTTTCATATTAAAACCTTGACCTTTTGCTACGTTTGCACTTCCCGTCACGACTAAAACGGCAACTCCGAAGACCTAAAACAGAGAAGTTTGAAAACACTGCTGACCCCATTTTCGTTTGCAGACAGGCGAAAACAGAGGATTTTAAAAACCATTAAACAGACACAGAGATTTGGCTTCCTGATTGGATCTTATACGTCGTGCAAAGCAAAAACACGAATCTGCTGACACTGTTTTAGTTATGGTATTGTTATTAAAATATTTTACACTGTGTAAATAACACTAATACACTTGTCGACGTATTTACTATGCAACAACTCTCAGTTTGTTTTCTGCCGCTATAGTCGCTTTGTACTACTGCGTTACTTTTAGTAACAGTTCCACATCTCAGCTTCTCAGCTGATTTATTGCCTCAGTTAACACTTTCCTGATGAGTTTATGGTCTCAATCACTAGTTTCAAGTCTTCTTCAATACAACATGATGCTAATTTAGTAAATTATGGTCCCATTTAGAGGTAAATAGACCATAAAGCAGAGTATGCTTCAGGGTGGGATTATCTGTATCTTATCACAAGTCGTTACCATGGCGACCTGTGGCACTGTGTAAATTTAACCAGCACCGTTGAAAAAGCTAATTAGGAGTTGGCTTTCTCTGGTGAGTACATTTAGTTTTTAGACTGTTGTTCGCTAGACATAATTGTGCACACATGCCTGTTAGCTCCACCGTCTCGTCCAAATATGGTCACGTCCGGTGCCGCTGGTTGCAAAAAAATCAACATTGCTGCGCCCTACCGGCCAAACTTGAGAATGATCAGGATGATTGAATAAAATATTGATTTATTGATTAGATATGTTTTTGATATTTATTTTGGATAAATTGGTATTTTAATCGAGTAATAGGCAACTTTTTTTTTCTTTAGAATAAACCAAATTAGTTGTTAGATTAATTGACTTCAAAAATAATCGTTATGTACAGCCCTAAAAACCTCAGTTATTTGTGTTGTAGTTGTTGCTACTGACCCACATGCAGACGGCTGTCAGACTCCTGCCAGCCCAGTCCATCACGTTGAAGAGGAGGAAACATGACACGGGGATGAAGTACATGTCTGAGGAGGGATCAAACAGCAGTTAACAACAAGATGGCAGGTTATGATTGAGATCAGGTCAACGCTATGAAAACACCACCTACTAACCAATCAACGCCCCCATCTGTCAAAGATCCCACAGACTGTTTTATAGGCTACTTTAATGTTTGTGGATATGCATTTGTTTATTATAACTTTGAGTTGCATTTGTTTCTTACATTATAGAGACTGATCATTTACTGCCCACCTTTTGCTATTTGGGCGAGTTTTCATTAAATTTTGGGAACTTAAGCCATCGTTGAGATCCAGTCTTTATGGCACTATTTGAGCACTTTTTTATGGCGTGAATGAATTTTCGTTATGTTGCTTTATGAAGTTAACTTATAACAATGTTTGGAACATTTTTCAGTGTGTTGAATAAATGAATCAGATTTTTGAAGTGACAAGAAGTTCTTGTGAGTTGGAACAACCACTTACACTGAACAAAATTATAAATGCAACACTCTTATGTACACAAAAGGCCTCTTTCTCTCAAATATTGTTCATAAATCTGTCAGAATCTGTGTTAGTGAGCACTTCTCCTTTGCCGAGTTAATCCATCCACCTCACAGGTGTGGCATAAAGTCTTAGGCTGTATTCAAAACAGCCTACTATACTAGTAGTATGTACCGATTTGGCCCAAATGTAGTATGTAGTATGCAGTATGCAAACAAAAGCAAAATCTGTAGTATGCCAAAAATACCCGGATGGCTTACTGATTCGGGAAAAATCTCCAGTATGCCTCGGACCAGTCTATCCCACGTACTGTGGCCCATAATGCAAAGCGCTAGAACTTTAACAACAACCGGTCTGTTGTGTAGAGGACAACAGAACACTTTTTACAATTTTCAAATGCTGTTTCATCACTAAATCCACTTCTAACAACTTTGGAGGCGAGAAATCAACTGCGTAGATTTTAAATATCGGCGGTTTTAGGGAAATTGTTGGCGAATCGAGAATGTGCTCGAACATTTTCGGAGTTGAGAAGCTCCGCAAATGCGGTGGGGAAAGCTAATGAGCCAGCCCGCGGGGTTACGAGCCGGCCAGTCAGCTCCGGTCTGCTCACGGAGCCCCTGGTCCTCACGACAGCTCACAGTCACATAGAACTCTGCAGCCAACACAGCAAACGAGTCCAGCAACAACGTGAGAGGAAAGACCCGCAGCTGTCACAGTTTAACTGTTCGTACCGCTGTTCTTCTGTCATTACATTCTGAGTAATGTTGGAACGTTTTAACTTTAATCAAGAGACATCTGTCTTGTGATGGACAGGCTTGTGTAAGGTAGAAGCACTTTGATAAAAAAATAAACAACAATAGCGGTATGTAGGTCATTCACGCCATAATAACAAGAATACATCTAAGCAACACATTAATTTAATGAAATACGCAAATGTGATTATAGTCTTGTGTAATCTTGTCCTGCCATCACGATGGAGCAGCGATATTATAAGCCTGTTAACTTTCACACAGTCTGTGATTTTTTGCAGCTGTGTTGCTTTTAGCCTAGATTATGTGGTTCATTTCTTTGTGATATGTATTTTTGCAGTCACTCCGGGTCGTGTGAATCCAAGCTGACTGTGTTCCATGAGGTTTCTCCTCCTTCCCTGTAAACTTTTTTTAGATCCACATTACAAGTCTACAGGGAAGAGCAGATTTAATAAAGCACTTTGTGTGGAGTATCCATTGAAAGAGATACTGTATGTATCCAGCTGCTATGCTCCTAAAAAAACTTATTCCCAAACCAAGTTTGGGAATAAGTGTCTGAACGGGGACAAACACTTGTCAGTCATCCCTCTCAAATGTCAGTGTCTCACTCGCTACTGTAGCAGTGTAGCTTCGAACGCATGTTAAGATATGGAGACTCACCCCAGCTGCTTCCACCTTTCACTGACGACTGGACCTCGACTGTTACAGCTGGAAATGTTCCGATGGTGACGGTGAAGATGAAGCATACTGACAGAGCCATCACCCAGATCTAATTAGAGAGCACGAGATGGACATAATCATTATTATGTAACCAGTTTAATCTCTGTCATACAGTTAGAAATTGGTAAACAAAAAGTATATGTTACAATGTGAGAAAGTCATTTCACCTGTTTGAAAATGTTTAACACAGACACGCTGGCTTTGGCCTCATCCTCCATCACCACCGGTCGCATCTCTGCTGGACTTTCTGAGAAACAAACAGCTGTCTGTCATTATGTTGCTCACATGGAGTAAAGACCATCGTTACTACATTAGAGTTGGTTTACACACAAGATTTCAACTGTTATATAACATCGGGATCCCATTACACTCACACACTAGTAATTAACGTGTTTGTCACTTAAACACAAACTGAAACAAACACAGTGGGATTGGCATCCATCGTCAGTGTGTAGTAAAGAAAGCAAACCTTTTAGTCTAAAGGAGACATTAAGACGGAGGCGTGACTTGTTATGGTAGTGTTCACCACCACATATCATCATAGCTCATTTTCTGACCTTGTACCTTAATGGTCTTTTGGAGGTTTATGGGTTTGGAGTACATAAAAATATATAACAAAAAGGAGTACAACTCCAACAAATTCTTTTTATGTAAAATAGTGTTATTAAGTTATCTATGTGACTAACTTGTATTTATGTTGAGGATGATGGGTAAAAGAAGAACTTGAAATAGGAAATTAAAGTGGGGAAAGGCATCACCCCTCACTTTGTAACTGTAGAGGGAATCTTTGTCCGTGAGAGTCTGTGCAGTTTGGTTGTTGTCGAGCAACTTGACAAAAATATCTGCAGTGCCAGGGCTTTTACATTTCTCATACTGTGACAAATATCAATTCAAGTTTTAGCTCACTGATCTTTGGAAGCAATATGCTTTTTTGCAAGTTATAACCAACAACAAGGACACGTGTCCACAGCTCCCACTTCAATAATCATTTTATTGGAAACTGAAAGCTGAAAATCTGAGCAATCGGAGGGTTTTGCGTTTCCACCATGGATAGTCGGGAGGGAAAGCAGCCACTGCGTAAAAACCTTGGTTTGTTTTATTCAGTGCATCCCGAGTATTTGGAAATCGTTATGTACCTGCCCATCCTGCGTAAGACTGCAGTAATTACTTGGGACAGCATGCCTGAAAAACTGCTTTGGGAAACCCCAGCAGAAACCGCTACAATATGCTGGAATGACCCAGACGCGAGGAAATGCCAGCAGATCGTGCTTCATCCAGCCAGAGGGAACAATCACCAACCGTCCGCACCGCGCCCAGTTGCTCCGTGATCTCCTGTCCCTGTACGCCCCAACGCCCCATTCCCTCTCCAATACCTACAATGGGTTGTGTCGCTATTACGACCGGCACACTGTGAACAGCTGGTGATCGTTCCCCCAGGCTGGATGAATTTTACACGTGAACATGCACCACTGCAGCTGGCGGCTCTCCACGCAGCGCCACGCAACTTTCTAAATTCTTCCATCTCACAGAGAACAGAATTCAGGTCGAAACGAAATTTGCTTTATTGGCATGAATGTTAATACAACAGTACTGCCAAAGCTAAAGGAAAATACAAAAAAACAATGCAATTCATATACTTCATCGAATAAATAAAATAATTTTTTTTTATGTCTGTAATTGATACAGAATAATATTATCTAATATTGTTAATTTTTCTGCGTCGTCTTTCATTACAGCTGTGTTTCCTTCTCGCAAGAATAACAGCAGCCATCTCTGTGCAACACATGGCGGTTTGCACCTTCCTTTCAAATGTATTAAATACAGATGCTGTTGCACTCACATGAAATTGCTTTTAGGCTTCTTAGCTCACATTGTGTGTAGTACATCAATGTATTTGCATGTTACCCTCCCATTACTTTGCACAATAAAATTGAAACGCCCCAAACTGCATATTCATTAAGGCAAAAGTAGTAAATGAACAAAAGATGCTATCTTGCACTTTTGAAAGACGTCATTCTCCGTGTACACCGTTAATAGATCAGCTTACATGTTAATTTGCTGGTCATATCAAGTTTGCACATGTTTTTACTCACGCAAACCTTTAGTAAATCAGGCCATGTGTACCTTTTTTAAGCAAGTCCATCTTATTCTCCTCATCAGCAGATGGTCTGGATCCATTACTCTCTATGTAGTACTGGAAAAACTCCTTATGACAAAAAGAAAATCCACAATGAGCTAATTCCACTGAGCCAACAGAGCAAAGATACAGAATACAGGGAGAACAACGTGTTCCTCAAGATGCTATAAATTCCTCACAGAGTGAAGCACTTGGACTGAGATCAAAATATAAAAGACTGAACTTTGTACAGCTCCCATCTAAAAGCTGATAAAAAACACTAGAAAGAATGTAACTCTATAAAACAATGTTTAGTTCAGTGAATATTACACCTTACCATTCTGGGTAGTGTGAAGTAGGACATTATGGCCAGTAGAATAACAACACAGGCTGTGATGAAGTAGCCAAAAGCACTGTCCTGCAGGGCTGATCCACCTAAAGACATGCACAGAACACATAGAATCATTAGTGTTTTAGTATTGATTTAACTTTACAGTTTTTCTTGTGGGCTACAGCTTTTGGGGCGGTGGCGATGATGCAGTGGATAAGACACATGCCTTTGCTGTGAGATCTCCGGGTTCGACTCCCACTGCAACACATCCACAATGTGTCCCTGTGCAACCCCTAGTTGCTACCTCTGACACATATAGTAATTGTTTTGGATAAAAGAGTCAGCTAAATGAGTAAATGTAAATATCCTGCAACAATTCTTTCAGTCAGTCTTTTAAAATTCCAATGGTTGGAACTAATGATTATTAATTGACTAATTGTTTAGTCTATATATATACATATCAGAAAAATACCCATGGTGTGATGTATCAAGTTGCTTGTTTTCCCCAAATGACACCCAGAACCTAAACATACTTAGTTTAAAAAAGGCAAAAATTAGGAGCTGGAACTATTAAATTAAATTAGATAAATTACCTACATGATTCATTGATTATCAAAATAGTCGCCTGACTAACTGATTCATCAACTAATCATTTCAGCTCTAAATCATATTGTATTTGACACTGAACCACCAGCAGCAACTCAGGCACCAACAAGAGGACCTTATGGATATCTGCTCGTCAATACAACAAGCTATAGCCTCAAAATTAACCATGAGGTCGAATAAAATCTGAGTAAGTAAAGTAAGTATTTTGTGTATTCGTGTGAGAGGTCTCTGTATATACTGCTTGTTCTTACTGGCAACATTAACTGCCAAGTTTAAAAGCCAAGAAACTATATTTATACAAGCTAGATGTGATGTAACTGATAACATCTGCAATATGCGGATCTGAGTCATGTATTTAAGAGCACACACAGAAAGACAATTCTTAGAGGAACAACCCAGTGCCAAAAGGATATCCAATTCTTTGTCATAATTCTGTGAAGGAGATCAAATTCAAAGAGCGGCCAGAACAAGTTATTGTTAATCATTGAACATTTGGCCGACTTTTCACCCAAACAAAATGAGCACATTTAATATTGAACATTTGCGGGTGAATGTGACACACAAACCTCTCTGGCAATATTTCTTTAGTAGTTACATTGCAAATCGTGTAAGATATGTGAAGTGTTTTTGTTTTGTGCAACAAAACTTTCCACTTCAACTTTCCACTCCACGTCTCGCACCAGTGTTACCTCCTGCTAAGCTAATGTACAGCACAGGCAGGTGTGTTGTGTATTTTGACCACCGCCTGTGTACTAGTGCTTTGTGTGTGACATACTGGCTATTGCGCAGATCATGGAGAAAGCAGCAAAGGTGCCGGCCAGGCCCTGTCCACTCATGATGGGAGTGGTGTAGGAGGCAGGCAGAATCCCGGCCAGCCCAAACAGACTGCCCTGAAGAATCGCCCCAAACGCTAGGGGAGAGACACATAAAAGGATGTTTAAGACACAGAAAAGTGACAGAGAAAAAACACACTGTCCCACAGCAACAGGAAACTGAACCGCTGTCACAAACAGCGAGAGATTATATCGGTGACTGAGGTGACTTCGCAAAGACAGTACACATCCAGCCACAGCCTGTTCACCCTGCTGTCATCTGGCAAGAGATACCAGACTACAGAGTAGCTGTGCATATAATTTTTGTTTGTAATGTTTGCTTTTGTGAGTTGAATAAAAGAAAATACCATCTCATCTCGTTATACAACCCTGTGTAAATCTACCTTGTACCTATATAACTACTATTTTTCTTATCTCACTTTACACAAGGTTGGGGCCACTAAGGCTTTTTCATACAAACTTGCTTTACGATCGCTTACAGCAACTTTGGAACTTAATCAGCAGCAGAAATCTTGCAACGTGTCCACGAAGAGGAATGTGCCGCCGCTGACATCTAAGCTTTAAGGACCTCCCCTCTAAATCAAACAAGATGGGCTGTTCCTCATAAAGACCTGGGGGTCAGGACTGGCCCAAGGGGGATAAAGGTGGGGGTCAGTATATCCCTGCTGCTCAGTGAGTCATTGTAAACAAACTAACGGAGTGAGATTACAGACTGTGTAGTGAAGCTCAGTGTGGTGTGTGAGTGTGGGGGATTTCCCAACACAGCGGATGCAAATGATATTGATTAAAGAAGGAGAGGACATGTGGAAATAATCATTTGCATGAGTTCAATGTGGAAATGCTTTCTTTAAACCATTAATACAACAGCCTGGTAATGAATCCTACCTTCATTAAGGTGTTAATTCAACTTTATTGTCATGTTAGAGGCTGTAGATTTGAGTTTGACTTGAGTTTGAGTTACTGTGGAACTGCAATGTGTTATATACTAAAGCCTAGTTCACACTACACGATTTTAAGGCCGATTTGCCGAGAGGCGAGCACGTCAGGCTGTGATCAGGGGTAAATCAGCGATTGATCAGCGGTCGGCAGTCGTTATGTGTGAACTACTCAACGACGCATCAAAATGGCTCCCCCGACACATCACCGACGCCAGCCAGCCATATCTAGCATGCCAAATATCTGGAGGAGTCGGCCCACTCGACATCCACATCCAGCCAATGAGAGCAGGCAGCTGGCAGAGCAGCAGCTACTTTTTCACCGCAAAACACTCCAACTCACACCTCCAGCTCGCTCCATTCTTTCATCCGTATTCTTTGTCTTTTATAATTGCTATCTTTATAATCCCTTTTCACATTTCACGTGCGTTTTCTTGACAAAACATGGTTTGGAGACCAGCCGTCGGGCAACAGAGTCATTCACAGCTGGTGTAGTGTGTGACCCCGCGTCACCGATCAGCCACATCACCACAACGACGACGGCGATTGTCCGACACTGAAAGTCATGTAGTCTGTCCGAGCCTTGTGTTTCTAATCTACCATCATTGATATAAATGGGTTCAGTCTATCTGAGATCCAGTTTCTGAGGAATCACACAGTAAAAAACAACAGAAAAATTTAATGTAATGTATTTATTGATTTGCGTCCCAAGACAACGACGTCCAACGTTTCTACCAACAAAGTTTTTTTCTTGTAAGGCAATTTTTCCTCTAATCTGGATCCAGACCTCTGAATCGCCACCCTTAGATATTATTGTTTGTTCAGAGATACTGACAAAACAATGGCGCTAAGTGTGAATGAGACTGTTGCAGCAGTGCAAGTTGCTGTAAGTCGACTGCTTCACTACTGATGGTTGGTTAAGAACAAAAAAAAACACAAAATCAACTCCACACCAAACAAGAAATTGGCTAATATAAACGCATTCAGGCTGAATGAATGACGAGACAAAATAGAAAATCTGCTTAATTTCCCCCTGCAAACACCCAAAGTCTCACGCTTGTGGTGTCTCATTTAGGAGGGGCTGTTTTTTCTCTGCTGCTTGTGTCTTCTGTTTTTTTCCCTTTTAATCTTATATACTAAATTACTTAACTTTATACTGTTGCCTGACTGTTGATTAGTCTGACATAGGTTTGAGCTTCCTTTTTGAGTAGGCAGAGACCTTCCCTGCATTTAAACTGCACGATCGTGTAATTATGATTAGTTAAGTATTTAGAAACTCACAGTTGATGCAGACAATTTTGATCATAGTGAGAGTGAAGAAGGGCAGCGGGGCCATGTCCACTTTTACGAGCACCGCCGTCAGCAGGAAAACCACCAGGATGACGCCCAGGCTGCCAGAGATCCGGAGCTTCTGAGGAATCCTGAGACACATAGAGTGAAAACAATAGACAGAAATGAAATTTAAACTATTACATAGGTAGGGTAAACAAATATCAAACTACTTTTGTTCATCATTTAATAATAGAAGTGTTCAAAGAAAGAAAAAAGACAGCAGGAAGGTTTTTATGTTTTTAAATCAGACTGGGGAAATGAAAGAGGGGATATGGAAGGGTGGTGGTGGTGAAGTAAAATATTTTCCGATGATGCTAAGGGGGTCAAGCTCAGGTCTTTCCATCAGAAAATGGAAATGTAAGTGGAAAACAGAGTGTGTCAATTCACAATGAGTCATTCTTTGTTCATCTAAAAAGGAAAAATCTGGGGTCTTTTTGAGAGAGAAAACAAGACAGAAAATAAATAAAGTGATTGCATGGAGAAGATGCAGGGAGAGGTAAAGTACAAGATGCAGAGGAAGTAGAGAACATAAATAGCATTCCTGGGTGTGTTTGTGTTGAGTCAGCCAAGGTCGGGGTCCACCCCAGATCTCTCTAAATCCGACTTAAATTAAAGCAAACATACTGGAGGCATACAGACATATATTCACATAACGGGATCATGTTACCTATAGTGGCATGGGGTGACCAAAGGGTACAGATAATTAGGAGGGTTTGCAGGAAGAGAGGAAAAGTAAAGGTGGAGAATCTACCTTCATCCTTTGAATGTAATCTCCCATGTTACCAAATGTCTCTTTGTAATAAATAATCTAAAATTCGGTTGCTACAGCATTTACCTGTACAAGGTGTTTGGTGGATTCTGAACACCTTGTCTCAAAAGGACACCAAACCAACTAAAGAGGCTAATGATTACGGAAATCTACAGGGTCAGTTTTAAATGTTTCTTTGTGTGCGTCAGTGTGGAGCATACCTCTGGTGTAAGAAGGAGTTGAGGCAGGTGAAAATGAGCAGAGGCACCATGGCGCAGAGCGTCATTACATTGTTAAACTTTGACTCCAGCACACTTCGATTGTTCCCGCCCACCAAAGTCGCATTTGCCGTCAGATTGAAGGAGAGGTCCGTGAGTGGGTCCTTCAGCCGACTTGTGAAGTACTAAAAAAAAGGATGGAGGAATTTTATTGCAATGGTTATCAGCTCTCAACAGTTATATTAATGACTATGGAGTCACAGGTTTATGTCATGTTAATGGAATTTGATAGATTTAAGTGGCATATAGTTTGTTTCACAACCTAGAATTAATTTTTCTGGAGCATTTCAAGTAAATAAGCCAGGGTTTCATCTATGTACATTTTGCCCATTGATGAAAAAGATCCTAGTTGAAACAGTTTATGCCATCTACAGATTATAACTTGCAAAAACACCAATACTGAGAGGGGTTATATAAATTAGGGTGGACTAAATATTAGAAATACATCTCACCATGACATCTGAAATTTTAGCTTTCAAAACCACACAGTTGAATCAACACTTCTCTAAAAGAGCTTCAACAACAACTAGATGGTACAACCTCCATGAGCGTAGGATTACAGGACTGTATTAGACCGCATTCGTTTTAGCTAGGTGTAATTTATCAACTGGCAACTGCGACCTTCCACCTCTACATTTATACTCACTATAAATGTAGAGGTGGAAGGTCATTTGGATGAAATATTTTACGTGCTTTAATTATGCACAAATTAAATACACATTTAAGTTACTGAAGTTTCTTTAAAGTTTTCTTTAAAGAACATCTTATTTATCAAAGTAGCTTTCCAACTTTCCTTTGTCAAAACAAATAGGCACTCTAAGCTATTTTAAGCTTCAACCAAACTTCCCCCTAAGGGTGGGTCCAAATGAACTCCCCCAGGATAATGAAATTTAAATTCCACATTTTAAGTTAAGTTAACCCCTTAAATCTCAAGAAGAATGGTTGTGGATTAGAGAGGCTACACCACTGCCATGCATGTTCACCTGGTGGGAGGCAGGGCAGCCGTCCTGAGTGAAACCAGGTGGTTTGGGGAAGGAAAGATAAACAAACAATCTTTGTTTTCTCTAAGTTAGGTGACCTTCCCCTAAGTGGAGCCCAACATTTTAATTAACTCACAAATAGGGCTCTTCCTTTAACTTTCATCAGTCTGTTGTTCCAAGGATGTTGTCACATTCAGAAGATTGCCATTGTTCTAAAATGTTACTCACCATTGTTGCCGTCATGAAGAAATTCCACGGTAAGAGGGTTCCCAAGCCCAGGATGAAGAAAATGATCCATACTGCATTGTATCTGGTGGAAAAAAAGGAAGTTTGCATGAAAGTACATCAGTGAACTCATTCAACGTAATATCAACAAACAATTGAGAACAATTTATCCCCTGGATGTCATCCAAATCCAAAAAAAACCCCCAAGAGTTTGTCTTACTTGTCCCGAGGTGCGTTGATGGCCGTCATGTTTCTCGTTAGACTCCCAGAGACACGTGCTCAGTCAGGGCTTTATCAGGGTGGCACCAGGTCTGAAACACACAGATAACAAATACATCTTTCAATTATGGAGAACATTTTGTGTGCCAGCACCTACATGTTTATCATGAGCAGCCATATGTCTCTACTTTCTATATTTAGATATTTTAATGACCTAGTTAACGTGTGGGCCAACACAGCCGTTTAATAATTGGCTGCATAATGTCAACAAAAAAATACATTCAACCACTTACAACTGTTAGATTCAGCTGAGTCAGAAAGCCTCAAGCTTTATGACATAGAAACTACTCAGATTTCAAATTTATAGGCTGTGAACATGTTTTAGTCATTACAGAGTCAGATAAACCAGCCACAAGAAGATAGAGCTTCATGCAAGAACCACTTTCACAAACAGATTTGTTCTTAAGTGGCTTGCTTGTACGAGTGATTAAGAAGAACTTGCCGCATTCACCAATTATCTAATATTTTGATGTACTTCTGCAAATGGGGAACTTGTTAAAAGTCACAACTCCGCAGACAGACACACCGATTCCACTGCAGACGCTGTTAAAAATGTTTCGTTTATGGACCTCCAACAGCAGGACTTCAATCTCTGAACTCGTGAAGTTCTTCCTTTTACTCTTTGAAGTCATTTTCATGAATGAACACTTCCTGATATGTGGGGCAGCATGCAAAGCCTTATATGGTATTATTGGGGTGTTAATTATGCTAATTAGAAATTCTCATGAACACATGATCATTTACACACAGTAGGCATTCATCATGTATAAACAGGTCATTTACACAGTTATCTGATGTTAGCAGCATTTGCTGAAATCTGATGTGGCACACTCACAAAGTAATGTTCTTGAATGAGGCCCAGTGAGTGAGTAAACACTCAACCTCGCAATGTAATTCAAAGAAATCTTTCCTACAGCTGAGAAGTCACAAGACAAAATTCCCATGCATCGCCTCTCAAAGCATAACATTCCTCTTAGATGTGCTAAAATGTGAGAAAAAAACATGACCATTCTGCCATTATCTCTCTTACAAGCAAAACACAAACTAAAACCTGTTAGCGTACTTACAGAAAAGTTCAAGCAGGAACCAAAGACTCCTCTTTCCTCTGGTCAAAGCACCACTGACATAAAGGCCAAACAAACTCAGGATACTTTATTTTATACCATCCAGAGGTTTAGTAGGTTGACACCCCACTGTCGGCTGCCCATTGGACCTGCCCCTCTTTGCATATGAGTATCCATCCCTCCCGCTTCCCTCTACCTCCCCTTTCTCTTTAACCCATCCTACATATTTTTACACTTACATTCCATGCATGTTAACTTCTATCATTTCAAGTAAACGGCGCAAATGGAGCAAAAGTCAGATCTTTCCTCGACAAGAGAATTGAATAATCATCTGAGTTATAAGTGCTCTGAAAAGAAAAAGATGTAACAGCTAAGAAAGCGCGAAGGATTGTTTTTTAAATTATAATATTTCACAATGTTCTTCAGTCTCGTGTCTCTATATTCCCATTAGTTCCACTATGCGTATGATCCTATTTTTGAGTCTATTCTTCCATGTCTTCTTAATTTCTCCCTCCATTCCCCCCTAGTGCTTTCTACCTCCTACTAATTTCTCACATCATTTCATCCACTGTTCCTCTTCAGCACCTCTATCCCTATTATTTTCACGTCTGTTACTTCCCTGGGCCTTTATTGTGCAAATGATGTTTTCTCCAATGCTCTTCTAGTAACTCCCCTCCTCTTTCTATTTCATTCTGCTTTCATCTCCACTTTTAACTTATCTGACACTATCCGCGCTCTATCATCCCTCTTTTCAAGCATCTTTTCCTCTACATCTGATAGAAAACATGTGCTCAGATAGAGAATAACTTCCTCCTCCTTCTAAAAAACACAGAGCCAACTGGCATCAAATCAAGCCAAACAAAAAGAGGTTAGGTTAAGGTGGTCTCAGTGAATACATGTATCATGAGTACTTGCAACAGCTCTGAATAACATGCTTTGATGGATCGGTCACACATCCTAATAAGCTGATAAAAGTTTTAAAGGTACCTTGTGGAGTTTTTGACCACTAGAAGCGTTGGATAAATGTTTGAGTGGCTTCCCGTTTCTTTTGTTCTCATGTACGAGCAACGACCACATGTGACGTGATAATTGGTTTCACACTATTACACTGATCAACAGGTAGCAGTAATGAGGCAAGAAACGCAGCAACGTGTCAGCATAGCAGGCATTATCGAGTAGGCTCCATCACTCACTTTGCAAAAAACTATCTAAACCACCTTGTCCGCGCAGTCACTGCCACATGCATGCAGTCCTTGTGTGCTAGAGTTGAACAAGCCGAGAAATTCACGACTGAAGTTAAAAGTGAGTGAACAAACAGCGCCAGGAGATAAAACGCTGACACAACCAGCCTCGCAAAAGCCACTAAGACAACAGGTACGACAGAACTAACGACTATAAAGACAGATGAAATGGTTTACTCGTACTGTTTAATATCAGTAATACTCGCACTGTGATTTCAGTGTTATTATATATTTTTTTACTTGAATGCTTCAGTTTTAATTAATTACCTGTTTCCATTAATGTCATTAGTAAGCAATAATAAATATCCTATTAATAAGAGCGAGCAAGTACAATATTAGACTTTTACAAACACCGTTTTGAAGGATCGTCTAATTATGGTTAGAAAAAAACAGATAAACTATATAATATAATATCCTACAGCACAGTCCAAACTTTATCATAGCTGATGGTATTGCAGACACCACTATGAGTCGGTTTAAAAACACACTGGCTCAGCCATGTCCCAGATTCCTGTAAAGTATGCCTCTCTCAGCCTAACGTGTCATCAAAACGAGCCAGCTGGCACGCATTGCCGGTGCACACCAAACACAATCACACAGGCACTTTGTAGTCTGTAGAGTGGCACAAAACTCCAGTTTTGGCATCAGTCTGACACTTTAACTAGCTGGCCTCTCCGCAACATCCAACTCCAACTCCAGCACCCCAATGGAAAAACCAATGGAAAAAGATTTAACAGCAGAGACAGTAATTTACTGTTTCCTCCTCCAATGTCAAGATAAAAAAAAAAAAAAGAAAAGGCTGTGAACAGAAGCTCTAGTGTGCTTTTCATAGTCACAATTATGTGCAATATTTTGTTTTTATTTTATTAATACAACTTAAAACTTGGTCTGCTCATACCACACTGTCTATATAATAAATGTATTTATTTATTTTATTTACCTCACATACTGTTAATACTGTATAATTTGCTAAATTAATATTTCTTGCTTGAGGCTCATTAGACACTTTCCACAAGCATTTTCTGTTGGTCTGATCCAAGTGTTACGTGAAACCTCTATTTATCAGGTTTGCTTGTCATTCTGTTAACAGTTAATTACTTTTGTTTCCATTTTCCTTTTCTCTATACAAAGTATATCCAGAATATAGGATTTTGTCTCCTCTGTTTTAAAAAGGAGCAATGTCAGAATATCCAGGTGGGTAAACAAGTGAGCTAACACATAAAGCAGACACCTTTTGAGCAGGCATCAAAATTAACCTTATAATGCTTCATGTCCTGTTTAAGAGCAGCGATGCGCAAGACATAACCTGAACTCAGCAATGTGTGCTGAGGAGTTTTAACCTGCAGTGCGGAGCTTTTTGTCTCCCCCTTCTGTCAGTGACAACACTGTCGACACGTGCTTATGGATTATACAGTAGGCTCCACTAGGGCCCTATGAAATTCATTTTAATTTGTGCCGAAATCTGTGTTTTCCGTTTAAACCAAAACCAAATGAACATGTAGAAATTTTCAAATGTAGGCCTATGTGCAATTATTAATGGACACAATTCACAATGAATGTATTGTTGCTGTTACTGTGATTTGTCCCCTAATAGGTTATTACTTGATTACTGATCATTTCTTCTCACAGATCTTCTGCAGGACAGCCTCCGTATGCTGCTTGATGTAGCTTTTTATTTGTTATAACGAATATCTGACTCCGCCCACACAGCCAAGAAGTCTTCAAGGAGCTCGGGTCTTGCACATAGACTGTGTAAAAGGAGGTCATGCATCTCCCGATGTGGTTGCACTTTTGAGTTTGTTGAAGTGATGAACTCTAGCTAGCTGACTATGTGTGTGTGCATGTCTGTGCGTCAAACCCTGGGTGAAACACCGACACAGAAACACAGAGAGCAGAGGAGAGATGCAGGGTGCTCGTAAATGAAACCAAAACATGGCACTGCCAGAAAAACTACACTGCTATGTTTTTCTGTTTCTTTGGCTGTGTGCTGTGAAAAAGATTTATTCTTTAGTATTATTATTTTTAATTTATACATTTCTGCATTAAAAAGTGTGACCTAGACTAAAACTCCTGCTCTTCTTGATTTTACACCACCGACTGGTTGGTCAGAGCGCCTGCACAGTGTGTCCACAAGGAAGTGGACTTAACAAAATATACCTTGCACATGGGGGTAAATCTCGATAGAAAAGGACAGGAGTACATCGTTCTTGTCTCACCAGCATGCCTCTGCAACAGGGTCGCCTTTGTTCCCAGGCTGACATACAGGAAAGTGTAATGCCGGTCATATGATGAACAACCCTGTCCTCGAGGGCATTTCCCAGTGCTTATAGATGGCGAACACCCTTGTCCAAGTTATAACACATTATTTGCCCAGTATTAGCAAAGTAAATGTATAACAGGGAGGTATTTCTTTTATAAAAGGAATACTTCCCTGTTATCCATTTGCTAAATTTCTAATTCCTTTTGACACAGTCAGTGGTGACATATTCCACATTTATCTGGCATGCTCATTGCAAGAGCTGTTCCATGGATCTCCTAACGTTCAAATATATAGGATGTAATTTGGCAACACTGCAATAGTACAAAAATGTTCAAAACGTCAACCCCTGAATGCAGCATAGCTTAAACTATCACTAAAACTGGAGTTGCTGAACCCTGGTGTTCTGGATGTGAAGATCTGCTGGTTCCCATTCTAGCAATCTAATTAGAGGTTATTTCACAAATGGG